CAAACAACAACAACAACAAACAGAATGAACAGCATCAAATACTACTACTATTACTACACCCGGCCGACATCATCCCCCGCCCCCCGCCCACAAGCATCCATTCGACCTTTAAGGAAATTTCCAAAATTAACTATATATATATATACATTTTTGTTTTGTTTTAAGCTCTAAATTTTGAGTACTTGTAATTCTCTTTTGTTCGAAAACTAAGAAATTTGATCATGATTTATGTGTGTTTACTCGCCTTCGGCGTTGCGGACCCGCGAACGAACCCCTCTCCAAACCATCCGTAATTATGTAAAACTGTAAATTTTTTTTTATATACATATAGACATACACATAACTGTAACAGGAAACCCTGGAAATCGTCACAGAGATTGAAAAGAAGGGGGAGGATAGGTAAAGCAAATGAGAAAAATGTTATATGTATAAGAGAGAGGAAACGTGAAACAAAACGACGAATAAGAACGAGAGCTGCGGCGGGGCTGGCGATAAGCAAAATGATTCAAAGACAATGCAAAAACAAAATGAAAATACACAACACAAATAAATGATATAAAAGAAAGATAAAACCGTAGCAGCAGCCGTAGCCGCAGCCGCAGGATGATCCGGCAACAACTCCCAACCAGCAGCAGGCCCTAGCAGCAACATAATGGATTCTTCGATTTTACGAAGAACTTTCTAATTTATTTAAAAATAAAATAAAAAAAATTGAAAAAGTAACCATCATTGTGTAGTCCTCTTAACTGTACACGATTTTCGTGCGGACCCAAGGGTGCTAGGAGGAGGGAGAGGATCATTTAGCAGTCCACTATTTCCATGATTTCCATTTACCATTCGGAATGATTTCACTCTACTTTACAAAGCCAAACACAAGGCTGTTGTAGGACTTGGTTGAGCAGATTTTAAAAATTGAAAAAAAAACGCCTGTCCTGGTGCGCAGACTCAAGCCCTCTAGCGGTATTTAGGTCTATTGAGATCTTCGTTTCTGGATAAGACAGTGGAACTCTGAGAAATTAATAGTATAATACAAGATAAAGGTGGTTTAACTAAGAAAAAGGTTCGACCCTGTCATTCTTTGGACAACTTTGATGATAAGGTTCAGCATATTTTGATGGATCTTACACCTACCAAAGAAAAACACATCTTCAACGAAAAAAGAAATACATAGCTTACCATACAAAAAAAGTGTCATAGCTGAAAAACCTTACAAATTGGCAGCAAACTTGAACTTTCCTTTGATATAGCTTCAGGTATATCTAGCTCCCAACCAAGGGCCATTAAACACATCCGATTTGTTGGATACCAAAGCTGTTAATTTCAAAGATAACAAGCGGAAATCAAAACTATTGCCTGGACCAGTATTGGAGGCAAAGATCAGCAAAGACACGTGCGATTGGTGGCTTGAGTCCGGACGGATAGTTGGCCGCTGGGCTGGAAAAAAGGTAAGCCTTTAGATCTTCGGTGGATATTCGGGTCGTGGCTAAGAAGGGGTAAAGATTTAATGCCATTGAAAATTGAAATAAACAAAATATTTTGATTGATTTTTGGTTTTCATCATTTTATTGTTTTCTTCTTCTTTGTTTTCTCCTCATCAATATTCTTCTTCGTCGGATTTTATCTCTCATTTCCTTGGGCATCAACTCAAGAGCTCTTTGCTATATAATTCCTGCGATAAGGGTATCTCTCTCTCTCTCTCTCTCTCTTTTTCTTTCTCTCTGTGGCGAACACTCGACTTTTCTCTTATTGGTTTCTTTAGTGTTCCTCCTCCTCATAACTTTCTTCATCGTTTTTGTTTTTTTGTTTGTTTCATTTTGTTTTTTAATCTTAATTATTTCTTAAATACATTAAAAAAATACATAAAATATTTTGTTGGTTTTTTGTTGTTGTTGTTGGTTTTCCGTTTGTTGGTTGTTGTTGTTGGTTTTGTTGTTTTAAATATGTATGTATGTGTGTGTGTGTGTATATATATGTATATAAATAAGCTAACAGTATATTGTTTATATGTTTATGTTGTATATGTATTTTATATAAGTATGCACTCTCGGATCTCGAAAGAAATAGGGAAACCCTATCTACACCCTATTATTTACTTTTTCTCTATTTAGAATTCGGCTCACGTTCAGTTTTTTTGTTTTTTGTTTTTTTTTTTAATTTTAATTATTTGTTTAGGTTTTGTTGGTTGCGTTGCGGGTTGCGTTTTTATCTATTTTTTTTTTTTTTGAAACTTTGTTGCTGTAATAATTCCAATGTTTCGTGCAGCTTGGGTTAGTTTTTTTTTCTCTCTGTAGTTTTAAGTGTTTCGGTTACTAGAAGACAAAGCGGTTTTAAACGTGAACGATTACGGGTGGGCGGTGGCGGGGCATACGGATAGGAATCAGTAAATGGATAAGGATATGGACAGGGAGAGGGAGAGGGTGGGGAGAGGAGAGAGAGGACAGTGAGGTGGGTTTATCCGGTCCGGCCACTTCTTGACTAAATATTTTGTTGTTTTAAAAACTATTCTAAACTCGTTTAGCCGCCCTTCACTTATTAAATAAAATGCAAAGAATAAACTTGAATGCGCGCCGTGTCCTATAGGTTTTTCGGGAACAGGTCTGTATGTGAGTGTGCATTATCGATAGCTTTCATCGATAAGTGATATCCAGCGTTGTGTTGTGTGTTTTGGATGTTGGTCCTTGTCCTCGTTTCGTGTGTGTGTTTGTGTGTGTGTGTGTGTTTGTGTGGGCTAAGGGGGCCTTGTTAACGCTATTTCTTTACTTCATTTTACTATGCATCCACAATTTAACGATGATTTCTGTTTTGTTGTTGTTGTTTGTGTGGGTGTGGGTATCGTGTGTGTGTGTGTGTCTGTTTGAATGTGTGTATGCTTGGTATCGGCTCTCTGCTGGATTGTTGCTTGCTTGGGGCTGCACTGCTTGGATCTTGGGATGCGCTTAGATGCGCTTTGGAATCGTATCGATGGCATTATTCTCAGGCTCTTCGTCCTTGGGTGGCTGACCACGTTGCTATCGTTTTACCATCGAATCGGAAAAAATACCATCATTATCAATATCCGATCGGATCGGATTGGATCAGAGAACGAACCACACACACAAGACACAATGGAAGAGAGAGAGAGAGAGAGAGAGAGAAGAAAGTAAAAAAGAAAGCAGAAGATAAAGAGAATGTATATAAATGTGATCAAACACACACATCTAAATATCAATCAATGAATCAGTGGTATATATGTATGTATGTATGTATGTTATATGTATGTATATGTATGTTTGCATGAATGCTTATATCGAGAACCATAATATTATGGTGGGCATTAAACCAACGAAAAATGTTTTGTTGTTTTGGGGCACAAATCAAATCGCAAATGTTCAATGGGCAGGATTTCGGATGTTGGAGGATCGGATCCCAAAAAAAGGAGTTTTTTTTTACTCATTCGATTCGAAGCTTAGAGCAACCATCTAGTATTGTGTGTGTGTGTGTGTGTGTGTGTCGTTCTGTACTGTGATCTGTCCGTGATTCGGTTGTAGGTTTTAGATGTGGTTTAATGGTGATATGGCTTTCTTTGGGTAACAGTTGTATGGATTTGTTTATGTATACTGTATGTAGTTATCCACCTCCACCGAATGGCAGGGCAAAGCAGGCAGAATGCAGTGTAGGTGAGGTATGCTAGGGTATGTTTCTCAGGGCCCAGCCAATGGATAAAAATATAATATAGTATAATACATAAGCAATAGTAAAAGTATTTTTAGCAGATATTTTTTATTTATCAAACAATTATTATTATTATTCTTTTCGGATTTCACATTCGCATTCGGTTTGATCGAGCGGGGGTAAGCGGGAGGTAAGAAAAGACGGTAAATATGTGGACAAGCAGTACAGTACTGGTGCTGCAGCAGCTAGCTTTTGTCCCTGCTGTCTGTCCGACCATCGTATCGTTGGCCGTGCCGTTAGAGCATGGCACAGCGCTAGCGTCGTCGTTGCTTGTGTGTGTGTGTGCGAGTGTTTCAATGGGTGCGAGAGAGTGTGATATATAAGTTAAAGTGATATAAAGTTAGATAAGAGCAGGGTGATGGGGAAAGTGTGATTTGGAGAGAGAGAGAGAGAGAGCAGGAGTGGGAGTAGGAATAGTGTCACGCACAACGACGATCACTCAGCCTCTGCCTCGGGATCGGGACGACTAAGGATCTCCTGACAGAGTGCAATATAGTCCTAGATACAGTCGTAGATTCATAGCATAGGTGGCATGAAAAAAGTGAAAATAAATTAAAAGTAAAGCAAAAAGGAACATCAAACATGGAACATGAAACATGGCACACGGCACTCGGCACACGACACACGACGTGGAACAGTGGTAACAGCCGGGCGGACATTTGGCGGGCACGAGAACGGGAACTTCGTGAAACACTTGATTCGATTACAGTTCAAGCATGGATGGATGGGCTACGCTATCGTATAATGGATCATGAGATTGCGGGGAGGGTAGTATTTCGAGTGTGGCAAAATGATAGACTGTGATTTGTATTAAATATCAGTTTCGTTTTTATTTTTAGTTATTGTTATTATTACTTTTGTTCTCCATTATATTCATTTCCTTTTTGTTTCGTCTACATCGTCTACATATCTTCTCTTCTCCGTCTTTCGTTCACATCGATCATTTATTAATTGTAAACAGTTTTCTGCAATCTCACATTAAATTATCAACGCTCCTCGGCCTCTCTATCGATCTCTATATAGATTCTCATATACATATACATATCTATATATAAATATATATATATGTAGATATATACACACATATATACTATATATTTTATAATTAATTCCTAATTTGCTTAAAAAATGTTTCTCAATTTATTGTATAGGTGTTTTTGTTTTCTCTTTTTTTTTTTTTTTCTTTCGTTCGTTTGTTTTGCGACTTTTTTTTTATAATAATTAATCGTTACGCAAGTATTAATATTTCATGTCTTAACAGAAAAAAAAAACAAAATAAAAATTGTACAATTATATATGTATGTTTGTATATTATTACGTTTTGGCAGATTTAAAAATGTATGCAATATTCAAATTCAAATTCCAATTCCAATTCAAATTCTTTTCTACAATAGTACAATTGTGAAATCCTCTGAGAGTACAGTGCGTTTAGAATGTATAAAAAACAGAAACAAACAACATGGTGGCAGGCTGGCGTGGGGGAGGGGGTTGGGCTGGGTTTGCAACGATTCTGAAATTTTGGACCCTCTTAAAGAACTAAAACTAAACCTGTGGCGGTTGGTGGTGGCAACACAACACTCTCTTCTACTTGTACATTAACTAGAACAAGGTCGAACAACCGTTTACTGGGGGAAAACTCTACGAGTACAACACTACTGATCGCACACACTCCGCACAATCGGGTGTACTATCGGTTATCGTTAAGCGCTTTATTCTCTTTTTATCGTTCTGTTTGTCTTTCAGTTTTGATTGATTGTTTTTTCAATTGTTTGCGATTATAATTTTTATAAAGGTATGTATTATTATTATTGCTTTTGCGATGAATAAGGCAACACTTGCCGCAGCCCAGTGTGTCCACATGGAAGTTTGTCTTCGTTTGAGAATCTTGCGGATTTGCTTTTGTCTTGTGCTCTGCTATGTGTGTTATGTATGAATGTGTGGGTAAGGTTTACGTGTGTGTGTGTGTGTAAGGTTCTGTGCCGTGCCGTGCGGTGCCGCCATCCAGTGGTATCTCCCTCTCTCACTTCATTTCTGCCTCTCATTTACTGGTTTCTCCTCTGCGCGTGGTGTATCCTATTCTTGGGTATCTTCTTCCTGCTGGGGAACCCCTGAGCCCCCACTGAGGGCGTGTTCGATCACTTCGTTGCTCTTGTTCTGATCGATCTCCTCCTGCAGAGAGTATACTGAACTTGATGGGGCCGGTGGCCCGTTTCCCTCGGATCCCGATACTGTTGTAGTGCGACCTCCTGCGGCTGGTGGAACCACTGGGTTGGTTTCCGCCAGTGAAATGTGTGACGAGAGGGATGAGCACGTATCGGATTCGAGGACATAGTTTGTGGCATAATAGCATTTGGGCACCATAGTGTACACTAGAGCTGTGGGGAGTTGTGGTTGTGTCCCGTTTTGATTGCTCTTATTGGTCGATTCTTGGGAATTCTTGAGTTCTAGGTGCTATGGGGTGTTGGTTGGTTGGTTGGAGCGGAGCGGAGGGGAGGTTGGGTTTGGGAGGCATTTATACAGGATTATCATTAATAATAATTCATTTAGCAATGCTTCTAAATATGTATGTAGTCTTTCTGTGTTGTGTGTGTGTGTGGTATGTGTGTGTGTGTGGTGTGTGTGTGTGTGTGTGGTGTGTATTATTATTGCTGTTTTTGCATTGTTATCTGGAAGTACTACGTTTCTTATACATATATCGTTGTATATCGCTAATGTTAATTACTATTTCTCCTCCCCTCTAATCATCTCATTCTGTATATCTATCTTGCTCATTCTCATACTCGTTTCATTGCTCATTGTTTGTGTATGACCAGTGTTGTGAAATGCCAAGGCGTGAATATCATATCATACAACACGCACAAACATACATACATACATTCGAATGGCAGACGAACACTCCCACACTCACACACACGCACACATATTATAAATAAACAAATTCAGTTAATTATTACTTAGCCAAACTCATATGCAATACATGTATGGAGTTATGGAGTTATGGAGCTATGGAGCTATGGAGCTATGGAGTGCTGGTGTTGGGTGTGTTAGTGTATGCCCACATGTGCATGTGTGCGTATGTATGTATGCATGTACTTTAGAGCGCCGAGCCAGTGCTGGCTTAAACTAATACTAAACAAAAGCTAACATAAATGCATATCCATATGTTTCATTTCCGTTCAAATCTGACAAATAAAATATATATACATATATAGCTGATGGAAAACTACAAAAATAAAAACAAAAACAAAAAAAAACAACAGTAAAATATTGTTGTTTTCTTTTTTTTTTTGCAACGTGAACTAAATGTGTTTTAATGAGGAGGTTGGTCTTCAGTGTCGATGAAATAAATGAATGAAATCTGCATGACGGAACGTGCGTGTGTGCCTGTCCGTTTCCTGTTTGACTGTGTGTGTGTGTGTGTGTGTGTGTGTATTTGTTTCTGTTGTGTAGCTGAAGAAAACCTCATCATATCATTTCCCGTACACGTTTCGGCTCAACATTTTCATTTTTCTTCTACTTGTTTCTTTTTGTTGTTGTTGTTGTTTTTTTTTTTAAATACATTCTACTAATCGTCAGCGTTTTTGTTGTCGCTTTTGTTGTTTTCTTTAAATATAAACGCAATGGGTTGTTGTTTTTTTGTTTTGTTTTCTATATTTGTATAAATGATTCTTTGCTCCTGGCGCTCAAAACCTCTCAATACAGCAGTTGTTCTTGTCTCTCTCTCTTCTTTCCACCTTCCACTTTCCTTCTAATTCCGTCTTCTCTTCTACCATGTCTCTCAGTGTGCCGTGTTGTTCTTGTTGTCTATTGGTCTTCCCGTTGTAAACTATTTTTTTTTTGTTTGTTTTGTTTTGTTTCGTTTTCGTATTTTTTTTTTGTGGTTTTTAATTTTGTTTTTTTGTTGTTCAGATTTTGTTTTTTTGTATATGCAATTGAATGGATTGTTGTTGTTGTTGTTGTTGGTTGTTGTTGTTTTTGTTGTAGTTCTTGTGTTTTGTGGTGTGTTGTTGGTTGGTTTGTTGGTGCGTATATGCGTGTGGTGTTGGTGTGTTTGTTGTTTGAATTAGTTTTTCTACACACAATGTTAGAATCGATCGAACAGATCGATCGGTTGCAGATCGAACAGAGAGGAGATTGGTTGACCGACAAGGGGATCGTGATCGGTTGTCGTTCGGATTTTGTGTGGATTCATGACCATTAGGTGGGTTTTTTTTTTCGATTTGATTTGTTTTTTTTTTTTTTTTTTTTGTTGGTTTGGTGGTCGTATGTTTGGGGAGAGAAAACAAATATAAAAAAAGATATAATATATATATATATATATATAGAGTAGAGGCTTAGTTCAGATATAGGTAGTATGTACTTATGAAGTATTATGGATTCTCTGGTGTTAAAAGAAGTGAGGATTTTAGTCAATCAGGAATCAAAGTCAACGAAAGAAAGATCACAACAAAAAATAATGCATCGATCGTTTTGGGCGTTTCGGTGTGTAAATCATTGTGAGAATTATGTTAAGCTAGTGTTAAGTTATAGTTAAGGTTTTAAATTTACCGCTCGTAGTGGCATTTTGAAATTGGCTGCTGCCTGCAGCTGAATTTGATAAGCTAAGCTGTGAATTTTAAAGCCATACAGCCTGGTTTTTGGTTCATTGGTTGGTTCGCATTGGTGTCGATGTTGTTGTTGGTGGTGTTGGTGTTGGTCAGTATCCATCCGGAGGGAAACGCATCAAAAGATAGAGTACGGAAAAACATAAACATTATTTAAATGTAACGCCTTTAGCGGAATGGATTGCTACTGTGGCGGGGCAACACTCACCGTGGAACAAATTGGTTAGTAGGACGCTTGGGCCGATACTCGGGATGCACCATAAAGAGCATGTGTGGAAATCCAGTGCCAAAATAGGCGCCATCAGTGTGATGATGACGTGACGATTTTGGTGTATAGACATCAATGCACTTTGGGCAATAGGTCTTCACCATTGCCTCACCGGGTATGTCCGAAAGGCCTAAAAAACGAAACGAAACGAAACAGCGATTAGGTATTGTCAATCGTGAATGTCAAACAACAAAAAACAATAGTGGAAAGGTACATAGGTCTCAAGCATATCTGGATGATGATCGCGAGACGGGCTCAAATGATATTCAATCATTAGTGCAAGGAAAGTTCTCATATTTTGAATAGCACCTGATTGGCTGATGATTCACTTTGGTATCGTTGTTTATCATTGATCCCAGACTGCGGATTGTCGCGACATCTGCTAGATGATCGCGGGTATTAGTACTAGACTTACAAATGTTTATACAAAACATTCCTCCAACAATGCCGTTTCAGCGTAAAGCAAAAATGCTCATATCAATTTTAGGTAGAAATATAATACTCGACGACTCAGCAGCAAAAAAATAACAATTGTAGAGGGCGCAAACAATTTAAACAATTTTCTGGATAATTCCAACGAAATGGTCATATTTGAAGGCCTTGAATTCGTCCAAGGCTAGCCCTACAAATCGTATCTTCTGATGCTACGATTGGGGGATATTTGAGGGCGACCTTGCTTAAGGATCGACCGGGGCAGTGGTGGGGGCTAGGGTACTACATACCCAAAGGCAACATTGGCTGGCTTTCACAGTAGACACGTGGGCAGTGTCCGAAATCGCCAGTTTGATATTTCTCAATCATTTGAGCGATGCCGCGATTTGTTAATATATATCTAGCGTGTATGAGGCCGTAGAGCATCTCGGCGGCCTGTTCGGTCATGTCCGACTGCAAGGGATTGTCCTCCAGTTCGTCCTCTGTGGGGGAAGGAGGGAATGGTAAAAGTAAGTGAACATAATTCTTTGAACGGGGGGGCTTCGATTTGGACGCTTACCCGGTTCCAGATCTAGTATCATGTCCAAGGCCTGGCGATAATTGGGCACCTGCTCATTTAATCCAGTTAAATTAAATTTATCCTGTATGTAATCCTCATCCACCTGGGAGGGAATGATCCAACAGAGAGAGAAAGAGAGAGGGACAGAGGGAGAAAGAGAAATGCATTAATTTTGAGAAATGGAGGAAGACACCAAGCTGCGTGATAAGTGAGTGTGTGTGTGTGTGCGTGTGTGTGAGTGGGGGGTCTCTTCTGTACAGTTGGACACAACTGTGCCCCACCTTGTGGCACACACTCACACACACACATGCTCTCACCCACATCACACAGGCCCAGGGCTGCCTGCACTTGGCTTTGCAATTGTTGCACCCGAGCTGAAGGCAAGCGCGCGCTCGACATTTGCCGCCGCCGCCGCTGCCGCCACTGCCATCGCCGCACGCCCGCCGCGCGTCGCGCGTCTTCACCCGTTGCCAGCCTTCTCTTGCTTAGATAACAACTAAATTCCAATTCCAAATAGAATTTAAACCAAACAAATCTCTTCACTTACCTCACAGAAGAACTCGTTGCCACGAAGCCCACAGAACCAGGTGACCCAAGAGACTTCCTCGGAGCTGCTCATTTTGCTGCGGGTGGGGTGGGGGGAAGAATATACACAATATATCATTATTAGGCAGTATCGAAGCAAACGGAAGGAACCCTGGATCATCGGTCCTTTGCAGCACACACACACACACATTTCACATTCACGCGCACATTTACGCACACACTCACAACATTGATGGATGCACATGTGTATTGTATATTTCAGAGTATTACATACATTATGGGGATTATTTTGCGTAATTTGCCTGGCAAACGAATTTATTGTTGAAATACCATAGAACGTGAATGCCGGAGGGGGCCGAGCGGTTAGCGGGCGGCGCGACAGCGGGAGCTAGGGCGGGGACGGTACGCTGAAGAGGAGAGGTGAGGCGAGGTGCGGTGCGGTGCGCTGTGTCGGGGGGTCGGCCGCCGGAACGTGACGATACGTTACGATACGGTACGCGGTTGCACGTAAAAAAAAAAACAACGTAACTTAACGAAAGCAAACGCAGTGAATTTTGTCCACGAGTTTTTTCTTCTTTTTTTTCGTTTTCGTTTGCTTCTTGGAATTATGCTCGTCTCGCGGTGGCTTCTTGTTGCTTTTTCACCGCCACGATCTTTCAACGTTTCGCGTTTTGTAAGTTATTTTATGCTTTTACTTGAGCACACACACTCCTAGCCGAATATTTAACTGATTTGCAATTTCGAAAGCGGAATAAAAAGGAAGTCAATTTTAATTTCTCGTATTTTGACAAGCGCTCATACAAAATGTGCCGAGCAGTAAGAAGAAGAGCATACTGGTGGAAATTGAGAAAAAAAAGAGACACATATACACACATGCACACGAACGCACACACACACTGAAACGCAGGCACGGTTTATACAATTTAGTACTTAATAGTTTCATTGTTTGCTGCTGGCTGGGCCTGTTGCTGCTCGTCCATGGCCGCTAGGAGACTCACCTAAATTATTATAAATTATATGAATTGATTGGATTTTGCAAGCCAGCAGAACCGGTAAAGGCAAATATTGTAGCGAAGACGGAATCAGGTATGAAACTCGCATTTATCGATAAATGCGTTGTAGTTGTATCAATGTACGGCCTAAAACTGACAAGTGCTAGACTGACCAGCCTTGTCTATTGCACTAAAACCTCACTAGTGTGAACGTATACAAATGTCAGAAAGGTGTTCGGTCAGCTGTGTGTTGGGCCAGCGCACGTTTTGATTTCCATTTCCACTTGCTGTTTGATTTTGGAAAATGGGAGGCCACCACAAGAAGAATTTGCGTGCCGAGAAGGCCAAAGTAAAGCTCAAGGGAGCCAAACTGCCAAAGGGTCTGAATGTGACCAAGACTGACTTCAAGGTGCGTAAGATCGAGATCCGTGAGCAGCTTAAGGAAACGTCGTACACCGAAACTGGTCTGCGGCAGTTCAACCTGAAGGAGACCCTGTCCCGACTGAAACATCACAGCTTCAAGTTCCGCACGGATGCCATGCGCAATGTACGCGAGTCGGTCAAGTCCGGCCAGGCCGATCATCTCATCGGCCATCTGAACGAGCTGTTCCAGGGCATCGCCGCTGGCGCTCTCGACATGGAGCGCAGTGTACGCCAGGAGTCCTTCAAGACACTCGATGTACTGCTAGAGGTGTTGACTCCCCAGGCTGTGACGCCGTTTTTCCATGTGATTTCCACCTACCTCAAATGCGCCATGACCCACATCCATCCCACCATTCAGGAGGATTCCCTGCTGATGCTGGACGTGCTGATCCAGCGAGTGCCACCCTCACTGCTGGCGGAGCGCAGTGCCAGCACTATTGTGGGAAACTTCATTGACATGATCTCGCGCTCCCGTCACGACAACGAGAAGTCAAACCGTACGCTCACCATGAACCTGGGCCACGGCAAACAGACGACCGTCAAGTGGCGGACCAAAGTGTTACTGCGCCTTCAGCAAATTCTCGGCACATTGGCGCAACACAGCGCCAAGACAGCCAGCACCAAGTATCCAGTTCATGTCGTTCAATTTGATGAAAACCGTCCCAATTACTATGGTCTGCTTAGCCCGTACGCGCAAGACACCCGCGACTTGTATGCCATGCTGCACGAGCCCAAGCTGAGCGCGGAGGGCACGCAGCTGCAGACGTATGTGGAGCAACTGATGCCCCTGCTGCATGACACATGGCTGGAGGTGAGGCCGCAACAACAGCAGCCTCTCCTCCCGCCGGATGCCGCGGCCAGCCTCTACGTTGTGGTCAAGCTGATAACCCAGCTGTGGACGCTCATCAACCAGCATGAGGAAGTAAACAGCACCAACGAGCTGAGCATCTGGCTCAGGCAGAATCATTCTGAAAAGTTTCTAAAGAACTTCCTCGACCAGGACGGCCGACGCTTTCCCTACCAGCAGATGCCCCAAACTCAGACGCAGAAGCAAGGCAAGAAGTTGGCCAAGGACAAGGGTCCAGCCGACGGCGGCGAACAGTGCCTTCCCCAGAACCTAGCCATTGTCCAGATTGCCTGCCAGTTCCTTCCAGAACCGAGCGAGCAGCAGGCTGTGGAATTTTCCCATCTGGTCCAGTACATGAACGACACATTGAAGCATCTGCAAAAGCTAACGCCGGAGCACCAGTTGCCGCTGGTCGCCGCCCTACGTTCGCTGCTGCTGGAGAATGCGCTGGCGCTGCTCAATCTGATACCAGACCAGTTGACGAGTCTCCTGAATGCCTCTATGCAGGCATATGTCGAGCAGCGCTTTGCCACACGCGAGGGCGTGGCCACCAAGATGTTGAGTCTGCTGTGCGAGATTGTGCAGACGACGGATCTGTATGCACGCTTTGGCGGCGAGAAGCGTTTCGCCATCTTTCTTGGGTATCTGCCGGAGCTGTTGCTGAAGCCAACGGTGGCCGAGGGCACGCTGCGTGCCATGGCCACTCTTTGCCGCCAAATGAACGGCTTCTTCATGTCCGCCCTCGTCAAAAGCTCTGGTGATATCCTGGGCCACCTGTCGCAGCTTCAGGTTACGGGCAGTGCCCAAGGCGATGACAAGCTAGAGAATCAGAGGCGTGTTCTCAATCTATTTTACTATGCTCGGACATGTGACAAGAAAAACCAACTGAAGAAGGCTCTTAGGCAGCTGGCCAAGGCACAGCAGTCCACCGATGAAGCTGGCGATGGAGATGAAGATTCCCCCACAAATGATCAAATCGTCAGCTACTTGAAGTCGGTGCTGGCCTATGATTAACCCCAAGGCGGGGCTGGTTCTACCCAAAAACCCACATAGTTTCTAAATCTAGTTTATATTATAATATATTTTCTCTTGATTAATGATGGAACATCTATTCAGGTCTTGTGCTTCTTTTGGGGCTTGGGCTTGAACCTATCCAGTACAGAGCGCGGGGGCTTTGGCCTTGGCTTGGCGTCGTCTCCTGCCTCCTTGCTGCTGTGCTGCCTGATCACGCCCTTCTTGGCCTCCCTCACCTCCGCTATGAACTCCTGGAATAACGAAATAAAAACACAAATCAGACGTGGAATCAGGATGGGACGGATAGGATGGAGTGCTGGAACAGATGACACTCACCTTTCGCTTGATATCTTTCACAATTTGCTTGTTGCGCGACGCCTTGGCGGAGCCGCCACGACCCTTCATCTTGCGACGGGAATTCATGCGTATGGCGGGCGGCTTGAGGTGGAATAGCTGTCGCTTGGCATCGACCTTCTCCTGCAACGTGGGCGCATCGACGCCGGTGATCTCATTGGGATCCAGGGTGATCAGCTCGGGGGGAATCTTTTCGAGCAAGGCATGCACCTCGTGCTCGCGCCGCTGCTTGGATGTCTCATAGGGATTGTCCTCGAGTGCATCGTAGTTGGGCTCACCGCAGCCGGGCACCAGCAACGAATGGAAGCCCTTGGCCGTGGATACCCCCAGCACATCCTCGTATGGACAGAAGCGCAAACCATGTACAAAGGCATCACAGCGCTGGCGAAGATAGGGCAGCTTGCTGCGATCCCCTGTGCCGCCGCCGGACAGCAGATCCGTGTACGTCTCCAGATAGGTTCCCTGGGACAGGGCCAGCATGCCACGCTGTGACACATCCAGCTCGTTGGCGGGCAGACGCAGGCGGAAGAGAGCCAGGGGCTGGTCGTTGAGCATGCGGATGTCCCAGACCTTGACGGTGCGATCCAGGCCAGCGGTTACCAGATGCTGACCCTTGGGATCTACAGTCATGGCCGTCATGGCTGTCGAGTGGCAGAGCAGCTTCGCCAGCGGCTCACGCACTTTGGGCGACCACATGGAGACTACGCCACGACTGCCGCCCACGCACAGGACACCGTTGCTGGGATTGTGTCGCAGGATCCGTATGTCGCCCAGGCCGGTGTTGAAATTGCCCACCAGCTCGCCTATTGAGACGTCCAGCCAGGAGGCATAGCCCGAGCTGTTGCCGGCAGCCAGAAGGAAGTGGTAGGGCAGAAAATCAAGCCGGTTCACATTTGTCAGTCGCTTGACGCAGTGCAGCTCCGTACCTTTCTTGTCGTAGAAGTAGACCCAGCTCTTCTGGGCCACCGCATACATGGTGGGCACATGCAGCCACTGGACATCGGCAACGCTCTCCATCACATTGAATTCGCAGTGCAGCTTCTTGGTCACCCAATCAAAGGCGGCGACATGTCCTCGCCTGCCGCCCAGAAGCAGATGACGGCCGTTCTTTGAGTAGCGCATGGTGTAGGGGCCAAACTCCATTTGGAGACTAAAGTGCTTGGCCGCGGACTGCAGATCCACATTTTCGGCAATCTGCTCCTGACGATACTCGGCCGTTATTTCCCCATCATCGGCTCCCAGCTGGCCGGCGGTTTCCTGCAGCAGCAACTCTGTGCGTGCCGCCTGCTCTGTGGCATAGTCCAGGTACACCTCCCTGCGCTCTTGCTGCTCCTTGAAGTGTCTAGTCTTGACGCCGCGCGCCTCTACCTTTTCGCCACGTGAGTATTTGGCCAGCAGCTCCGGTGGTACATGGCTCTTTTGGGCTTCGGCTGGGTCAGACGCCTCGGCCTTGACCTTGGTTGGACGTAGTGGCTTCCTGACTTTGGACTGCTTCTGCATTTTGATGAAATCTCCCACAAAATTTTGTTGATTTTTGCGCTTCAATTTGACTGGTTGCAGTCCAGCGGTGTCGCCATCGGCAGCGGCACTCTCTGTGTCGAAGTAACGTTTGTGGGGTGCCTTGGGCTTCGCACGCCCTTTTGGCGGGACCTTGGACATGGTGCCAAAGCTGAAAATTAACCAAAACTCTTGAAAACAAAACGAAGTGAACTTCTTTCAAAAGTGCGCCCTGGTCCCTGTTAAAAACAACGTGCACGTGCTGCTTCTTCCTCTTCGGCTCGAGGGAAAAACAGCTGATTTGGCGAGCCCGATAACAGCAAATAATCGATAGGAAAAACTTGTTGAGCTTATCGAAAATCAAATTTAATTTTATTCAATTATTTAAAGGCTAATTAAATGAAGGTTCTTAAAATAAAGTAACGAAAAGACATCAAAATACATTTTAACCACAATTAGAAAACGCTTTCAAGGTCTTTTCCACTTATTGTAGACGGTTTTAAGTGTTTTTAAAGTTAAGACTTAATTTGGTACGATACTCGTTAGACGAATTTTGAAGATTAACGCCACATCAGTCTATGGGAAGCGTAACGTAGCTTAATCTAGAATATAGACTATATTCTATATAAACTATAGAATAAACTAATAGACACGGCCATAGGGCAGAGCATTGGGATAATACGGCATTAAAAACTTGCCCCCAAAGCGGGGCTGGGACTGGGCCGATTCGCTGCTCGAGGAGAACATTGATGTGCAGATTTCGGCACGATCCCGATGTAGGCGGCTGCTGCTGTTCGATGTGCTCGTTCCGGCTATGCCCGTACCCGTGCCAGTGCCACTGCCCAGTCCTAGTCCCAAGCCGAAGCCCAATCGAGCGCCATGACGACGCTCTCGGCGACGGGTCCGTATCAGTGAAAAGATGGCCACAATGACGGCCACCAGGAAGATCAATCCAAGAATACAGAACGAAATGGCCAGCTTCGAGATGGACAGGCAGAGTGTGCCCTCACCCGGCAGGGGCCGCACATGGGGTGGATAGTCCTCCACTGAAATTAGCCCAAAAATTGTGGCTGGTCGTGGTCTGGCTGATTGCGCGGGATTGCAGTGCATTGTACTTACCGCTCATGTTGTACCGCCGGTCGTAGCGCAGGCGATCCACTTCGATCTGCGGCGCAGTCACGGCCAGCGAGTTGAACACCTCAATGCGTGCCAGGTGCTGGTCGGCACTCAGTTGCAGCTGCTGCTGATGCTGCTCGGCGAGGCGACAATTCAACTTGAAGAAGATTCAAAAATCAGAGTTATTTTTTTGGATGGTGGGTGCAAAAATGGGTGACAGCAGAGCTAGTGCTGCCTGTTGCCTCCTCGAATCAGCTTCAGTTGAGTGCGTTTTGGTGCAATAACCACATTAATTAGCAGACGCAACAGCACTAAATCCTAACACGCTACGCTGGGCACTGCAGTGCGCGCCCTGGGCCAGAAGAAGAAGCCGGCAGCCAACAGCCGTCAGCCGACAGTAGGCAATAGGCAACACTTTCGTTTTTCATTGCAACCAATTGAGATGCACATACTCGTATTGGGCCTTGTTTTGACTGGTACTGGTACTTACATTCGGACACTTCCCCTTGCATAGCTGCACGCCACAGCTGACATGAAGGCGCTCGCGATCGGGAAACTTGAAGGCGGGAAATGTGGCCGCAAAAGTGCGCTCGACCAGATCTTCCTCGTGCTGCTTTGACCAGCCCTCCTCTGCGGGCTTGTGGTGTATGTGTAGAGCGGGCATTACCTGCGAAAGTCATAGACAAGACAGCAAGAACTTTAGACAGGGTCGCGGGTCAACACTTTTTCGGGGATGTCCGTGAACCTGTTTGTGCATGTACCTGTCTCTGTCGCTGTCTCTGCCCCTGAACCTGAACCATTACGTTTTAATGGGTAGGTAGTGTATTGTAGGTTTTATGATCGCTTATACAATATGCGCGGTATGGGTATGCGGTGACAAAATCCCGCGCTAACCATTCTCTTTTACACGCTTACATTTGGCCACTTCCGTTACGTGGCGTACGCGCACAAGAAACGGCAACAAAAGTCATGTTTTGCAGCCAAGTTCAATGGCAGATTGAGGTACTACTACAAAGTAGCCTAGTAGTACTCGCAGTACGAGTAGGTGTGCGGTGCGGTGCTCCGCTTCCAAACGTAGTGCAAATGTATGAAATTACAAGACAATGTGATTTACATCTCGTCTTCCAGCCCATTGTTGCTACCGAGGAGGAAAACCGAAAGAGGGCCCCCGCGGCACGTTGATTAGCCTGGTGATGATGTCTGGTTTCAATTTACAAGACCCCCAAGAGCACGTGTTGCCGCATGTGTGGGTGGGTTGTGGGATGGGATGAAATGGGATGGTATGGGATGGTTGTGTGACTGCGAAACCTGAGACAATAACAATAAGAGCAAATTGTTGCGGAAGTTCAAACGAGTTCACGTGCAAAAAGATGGCAAATATTTACATTTGTGTATTTGTGTACGTAACCAAGTGTAAAGTGGATCGAAACGGATGAAAAAGTGATAATCTTTTGTCTTCCGGCCACTGAAATGTTTGTCAGTGTAAATTATGCATAGATATGGTTAGAACTGCAGTCAGTTCAAGACCAAAGATATGGGTTAATCTTAAGCTCCGACACAGACTGCACAGTTTGCAGAGAGGAGTCAATGCAATGCATTTTTTAAATTCAAATTCGATATCAAATTCAAATTCGCATCGAAATTGGCTGGCAGGATCTATCGAAACCGGGTATCTGGTCTCATAACGGTTCTGTTCTCGATAGAAATAAGAAAAAAAACTGTGCCATCGCTGCGCGAGCGCAAACAAACAAAAGACAAAAGTTTTTATTTCACTTTTCTTCCACGCTCTGACCCAGAAGTGTTTCTAAACCAAACAAATCAACTTGTGATGGTTGTGCGCATAAATTTGCAATCTGTTTGCGGGGGTAGGGTAGGGGTAGGCAGGCAGGCCAGGCGAAGGGGGCAAACCAGCGCAAAAGAAAATGAAATGTGCTAAAACGGAAGGTAAGTTCCAAGACAAGACAAGACAGAGGCAGAGCCAAACAATAAAACAAACATAAAATGCAAATGGTTTCATCTGTTGTTGTTGTTGTTTTTTTTTCTCTTTTTGTTGCTGTTGTGCTTTTTTTTCTTCATTCCGTTAAACTAAAACAAAAATTAAGCCGTGAGATTTTTTTGCTGCTTCTCCAATGCAAAGGCAACAATGGAGAAGAGAAGAGCAGCAAGGCAGCGTCAGAAAAAGATTTGTTTGACCCATTTAAGGCCGCAAATGAATGACATGTGCATAAAGCTGCGACGACGCTAACACCGAACCACCGCACCGCCGCCGCGCCCCCGGATGGAACGGAACGGAGAGGAGACCAAAATGCAAATGGCTGGACTGGCAATGTCATTGCCATTGCCCCTTCCGTTGCGCTGCGTTCCGCTGGTGGTGGTGGTGCTGTCCGGAGATGGAGATGGGGCAACAGCACCAACAGAAACAACTGGATGTCAAAATGCTAAACGATAAATATTTCTATGTATTTCACTGTTGGCTAATTGTTGTGACCTCCTAATTTACTCAAGAAGAACTGAAGCAAGAACCCAGAGAACAGTTCGCAGGCGTTTGTTTTAGTTGTTTTTCGTAGTTTCTTTAATGACTTTTAAGGGGGAAGGGGCTCCACTGCTTGGCTGGGCAACGAAAACTGTTCTAACGATGATCGCGTAATTATGGCTAACAGTTTTGCTGCCTTTTGCCTTCACATTTAATGCCGCGCGGTCGGTGCTGTAATAACTGTTACAATTAATGAGGCGTCGCTGCTGCAGTTCGCAGAGAGTCCGTGTTGTGTGTGTGTGTGTGTGTGTGTGAGAAAGAGAGAGACTATGGATAGGATGTGCAAGTCCCAATATCGATTGTGGGAGTTTCTGTGATCCTGCAATCGATTGTTGTAGTAACTAGAGATTATCGGCCCATGATCTGGCGGTTGTTGTGTATACTCTCTGATACCCACTAGATACCCGTCTATAAAAATGAAAGTTAAATGCGATCAATCGCATCATCAGCATCAGCATCAACAGCAGCTTCAGCTTCATTAATTAATGATCTTTTGCCTTGTCTCGTCTGGGTCTTGTCTCTTTGGTCTAACGGTTAATCACATACTATACATATCTACCCCTCTCTCTCTCTCTCTATGTTTTTTTCTCCGTCTTGTAGAATGTCTCGCCGCCGGCGCTGGTTACGCAAATGGTTGGGGGAATCTCCGAGAGACTGTACTCACCTGCTCGTCAATGGGACAGCCGCGTGCATCGAGCAACTGCTGCGTGGACTCTCCCAGTCCATCGAGTGCCGCACAATCCACCACACGGACCCCGATTGTGCCGGGTACAATGGCGCGTACGGTTAGGGTGGTGGGCACGCCCACCTCCACAGAGCCAGTGCCATTGGGACCGCCCAGTTCGAGCCAAATCCGAACGCGCGGCGTGTCCATATGTTGATTATGATGATGATGAGGCACTGTAGATGGGACCGTAGAGGAGGCCAGATGGATGGCAGACGCTGCAGCCAAGGCACGCATTCTTGCATTCCTGGAATGAATATGGATATGGATATGGACAGTTTAGGAATTATTTTGGCTTACCTCTCCCGACCACTGTCCGTCCGCAAACCTGGCACTCCAGGCAGCGGCATGCCCATGGCCTTGGGCGGCAACTGACACCTAACCGAGCTGAGGATGTCCGTGCTTTGGCGCAGCTTTTGCTCCATCTGGAGCATCACCCGCACGGTGTACTCTATGCCGCCGTCGGCTAGGGGATCGGCACGTACGCCACAGCCGGAGGTGGGGATGCGCAGCTGCAGGTGAGTGGAGTCTTTGCCGCTGGACCGACACTCCAGCGGAAAGTCCTTGGCGTAGAGCAGGCCGCGAAAGGGTCGGCTCAGCTGCAGCTGCATATCCAGCATTTCCCTACTGCAATTCACTTGCAGCCGCTGGATTTGCATAGATGGGACTGCAGATGGAGCTAGGGTTGGGGTTGAGGTTGGGGCTTGGGTTGGGCTGGGGGATGGGGAGGTGTCAGTGGAAGTGGCAGTGACGGTGGTAGTGGCGGCGGTTAGCGTCGTTCTGGTTGCCCAGCTAGCATGACACACAAATTGCGGCAGATGCAGCAGGCCGATAACGGCGGCAAGTGGCAGCAGCCCGCGGTGGAGGCCAAAGCCAAAGAAGAAGGAGAAGAAGAACATGTTTCCGATTTCCCGTTTGCCGCCGGCCCAGGCCCGCCCCGGCGATGAAAACCGCAAATGATGATGCTACCTGCTGGATCGACCAACACCTGTTGCTGCTGTTGTGCCCAGTTGATGAAGCGTGTGGCAGAGTGCCAGAGAGGGGGTGGGGCGGTGGGCGTGTCGTAATTGGCCTACTCCGAGTGCGAGAAGAGAATCTGGTCGCGTCTGGTCGTGTCGTCTGCAAAATAGATGATGAAAATTTCCAGCTTTAGACATGATTTTAAGGTCAACCTAAGCCCAAAACGGCTTCATCTTTAGTCCCCCCTCTCCCCCACGGGATATCGATCCCAATCCCAAGCCAATCGCGATGCCAATTCCGATCCGAAAGCGGGTCAAGTTTACCCAGTGATCGCGCGTAAGCGCCCAGAGAGATCGATTGGGAGGGAGATGTTGCAGCACGGCACACGAACAAATAAACCAAATAAAAAATGCGATAAAAGTCAACAACCAGAGCTTAAATCAACATCAACATAATGCGTTTGCAACTTTGCGTAATCCTATTTTATTTGATGTTGCTGGCTGGTGGCTGATGGCTGATGGCTGGCTTGTTTGTCCATTTATTGTGTCTCCTATTTGTGTGTTGTGCTTCGCATCTCTTATTAGCTCAATTTTGTTTGCATTTGGGTGCGAGTATTGTAATCATCCCAATTAACAATAAAACTTTGAATGGCCCAGCCTCCCTCCCGAACGGGAAACGAAGACAAGACCTTTCAAATTCAGACCTAGGATTAGCTTACCCTTCACTTTGTTGGGAAATATGAAAAAAGTCCTTCGTAATGTAATAATCCCTTATGATTATTGTTGTATTCTGAATTCCTGGTAATCAGTTAATTTATTTATTTTCACACTTCATATTTCGCACAGCACAAACAAACAAATAAACAAAACAAAAAAAAAACGGTATTCTTACACAATTTTGCGGTCAATTCAAATGGGGGAAAATAACTGAGAGAACCGCAATTTTGGAATTCGCTGATTATTGCCACTACGCATGCGCGCTCGCTTCACACGTTTCAGAAATGTGCGAAAAAAAAACTGCTAGAGAAAACGGATTTGAAAATGAAGAAGTCAAGCCAGGCCAAACGCGCGCCACCGAGTGTGCAAATGCAATGCAGTCGGAGAAGAGCAGAGCGATACGATTCAAGAAGTTAGCCAAGTTGGTAGGCGGCCGCTAACCGCAAACTTGATGGAAGAGCCAGAAGACGTCGAGGCTACGCATGCTCTGTGATTTGGCGGGGCGAGATCAGACCGTTCAAATGAGTCGATAGTATCGATAGCTATGACTTATCGGAATCATCGGAACATATCGATGAACAATTCTCCCATTTCGCAAGGTATAACTTAATAGGTACGGCCACATCAGACAGGATTTTTCTACATCTGCAGAACAGATAAGACGATAAGACAAGACGCTAGAAACTGTCTCCAGTCACGTATTCTGGCTATATGTAAAATAGCCGTGGCACTATTAGGGCTAAAAGGATAGATTACAGCCGATTAGATTAGCCAACTTTAATTTGAAAAGCGTAAGTATCAATAGTCTCTGCCGTTGGTACCAGATCCACTAGAAAGCCACCCCACCCTGACGCACTCACTAAATGCCTTTCTTGTATCATGCTATGTATATTCACTTCCATTTTAACAAACCTTAATGAACTATTAGTCTAGTCCAGGCATTTCTCAACCCGATTCGGACTTTTCTTTTACTTAAGCCTATTACTTATCTGAATACTCATCCTTTATTTCACTGGATTGAAGCACTAACCATACAGTATACTGTATGGTTAGTGATTGAAGTCATATCCTTGTCACTCAATCACTTTCAAACGATATTATTTTGGCGCGCAGCTCTAAGTGGAATCGATAGTATCGAGATGGGATCGAGAAATATATACAGAAATCGAATTATATGGATGAATATCTCAAAGACATGTCAATCTGAGAAAAGATCATTATTATTTAGGTTGGTTTTAAGCAGCTGACAATAATTATCAAAAATAGGGTTAAAAATGCCATGCTTGTGTACGTTGTGTACCAACTATGTAGTTACCATGTAGATACCATGTATGTATATTTACATTTTTATTTACTTACTGGTTTTGTTCTTTTTTTGTTAATAAAAAAAGGTATTGTTCATTGCTATACTTTGAAAATGAGAAAGTTTGTTTCCGTATACATCTGAGTCGGACGTTACGTTTTATTGCAAGGTTCCAACGAACCTCATCCCTCACCTCGCTTGTGTGGACAATATACCTTGATGACAAACGGTATATTGAGCAAATGGGGTGGAATTTACCTTGCATGCGTTGCATTTTCTGGGCCGTTTTGCCCGTCGTCCATACCCTCTCTATAAACTTCCCTTAATGGTATATTAGGCAAAAGGGGTGGAATTTACCTTGCCATGTGTTGTACTTTCTGGGCCGTTTTACCCATTGTCCATACCCTTCCATTTTCCTCCCATTCATCACATTTTTTCGTAGTGACAGACGGGGTTGCCCGTGTAAATTGTAAATAATAAATAATATATAAATTCGGGAAGAAACCGACAGCCGACCGTATCAGATGAATCTGAATATGTCTGAAATAATTGAGTTTGTGCTGCCTCCAAGCGAATATCCCAATGAAGACAATGACATTTCTGTGGGAAATGTGGATACCGTCAACGAGGACGCTACCTATGTTGTTTTGGAAGGCCTGAGCAATGAATACGATGAGGATTTTCTCATCGTCAACGAGGAACTCCACGAAGATGAGTTGCAGTTAGAGGAGCCCGACCTTGACCAACAGCTGGACAGCGATACGGAGTTTCTGGCGCAGGACCAGTACGTGGTGACGGAGCTACCGTCCGAAACCGAGGAGATGATCGAAGAAGAAGACGACGAATGCGACGACGGCGAGAATGATTTCGAGCAGCTCTACACACAACCGTCTGTTTTCGAAGGGGCAGACGAGCCCGAGCCAGAGCCAGAGCCTGAGCCTGAGCCCGAGCCGGAATCAGAGCTGGACCTAGACTCTACTCTAGAGCCCGAACCCGAGCTCGAGTCAGAGTCGCCTCCAGTGCCAGTCAAGAAATTCAAAGCCAATCCACAAAGCGTCGTACGGACCTACAACAACTTCCTCGACGAGGATGAGCCCCCACAGTATATCGAGCCCAGCAAAAAATTGCTCGATGTGTTCAAGGGACCTCGCCGTTATCTGCTATTTGACGACCTCTTGGCCACAATTGTCGACTTCGATGAGAACACCACACCGATTGTGGAGTTTTCAATGAGCACCGGTGTGCCGGACGACAAGCTTCCCGTCGAGTGCGGCATATGCCCAGATGTGATGCACAAGTCCAAGCTGTCCAAGCATCAAAAATTGCATCTGGTACCTGGAAGTAATCGTTATTCTTGCATCTATTGTGCGGAAACGTATCGTGATTGTAAATACCTGGCCGGTCATGCCCGTCGACACATGGGCATACGTCCGTATGTCTGTCACGTATGCAAATTGTATTTCTCTACCAAGCAGGATCTGCGAGTACACAACCAGCGACGACACCAGAAGAAGGAGCACATCTGCGAGCTGTGCGGCAAAACGTTTGCCCAGAACACGCAGCTCAAGCGCCATCGGGAGGCTACACACGAGAAGAAGCGTCGTTTCCAGTGCCAAAGGTGCCAGAAGGCGTACTACAAGAACTTCTCATTGCAGGAGCATATACGAAACGTGCACATGGGAAAGCGCCGAATGCTGAAGTGTCCGTTCTGTGGAATGCAGTGTCGCGACGCGCACAAGATGGCTCGCCATCGCAAGGATATGCACCTCAATCAGGACTCGTTCGTATGCCACCTATGCCAAGAGGAGTTCACCGATATCAATTATTTCGATGCGCACAAGCGTTCCATTCAGTGCCGCACCAACACCAAGCGTTATGTCAAGGAGCTTCATCCGGGGGCGTCCGGCTCCGGGGACGCAAGTGGACTGGCCGAGAACGATGAGGACGCAATGGGCCTGGAGGAAGATTTCGATGAGGATGCTGGCCTGCTGCTCGAAGAGGCGAATCCCGATGACCCGGACGATAATGAATATGCGAATGGTGCCTATTTCCAAGAGGTTGATCCGCGGTATGTTCAGATATCTGACTATGATGGCCAGATGGTTGAGGGCGTTGTTCTGGACGAAGAAGAGCCAGAAGAAGATTCTTTCGACGAGCAAAAATACTATACCACTATCCCACGGGACAGCCGGCAGGAGCATTCCGTTGGACAAGAAACAAATGCTGATGAGCTGATTTATGAAATCACTCTGAAGACTGAGGATGACATTTAAGAAAGTGGTGTAGACGGCCAACACCCCTATTCCCCACACTAGCCCACACCATCCCATACACTTTGGCAGGATGCAACTGATGATGATAATTAAGAAAGTAACAAAAACTGGCCCCAATTCCTCCCTACACACACACACACACACACACACACGTTTTTCGCACATTTCGGTAATATGTAAATAGGCAAAACTGAACATATATGTATACATAACTAAGTATAAAAGCTATCATCAATAACTATATAGGAAATACATTTAATGAATCAATTAACTTGGAAGAAAATTACTGTCCCTCAGGTTGAAAATGCAACTCAGCGACCAGGCAGCAGGGCTGTATTCGACATGGCATCAGAGTGCTACAAATGCAACCTGACGCAGGGCGGCTTAGGATAAAAAAGATAGTGCTGGAGTCGGAGTCATTGATAAGGAAAACGGAAACCATGCTTGGCAAATGGAAAAATTTCCACTCATTGGCATTCGCAATGGCTGATGACGTCAACAAGATGTAAATATATCACCCAGAAAAGGAGAAAGCGAGATGGAGATAGTCCAAGCAAATATATTAATTTCGATGCTATCGATAGTTCTGGAAAATGCGACTTGTCTTGTGGAAAAAAACAAAACAAACCATTTATCATACGAGAATTTTGTTGTGAGACATAGAAATGTTATTTTCGGGAGCCTGGCAACCGTTGATGCTTCGATCAAACATCTATTTCGAGCATAACACAGCGCTGGATGTCAGAAAGCAGTTCACCGAAATTTCCAAGAGAGCAAAGCAAAAGAAAAAAAGCCGGTATTCCTCTACAGATTTGCATACGTTATTGGTTTAGACGTAAAGCGAATGAATAATGGATGACGACGATGAAGTCGAGATCAATCCAGACACGGATCTGCTCAGCGAGCCCAGCATCGGCGAGGAGGAGGAAGTGGAGACGGACGCCGAAGCCCTGGACAGCTGGGAGAGCTTCCACGAGCACATCGATGCCCTCATCGTAAACGAACATTGCGATGAACCCATACGCAACCTGGACGAACGCCGCCGGACTGTACTGAACCGGGTGCGCCATCAGTTCCAAACCGCACCGAAGGGAACAGCCGAGCGTTGTGCGACAGAGAAGCCGCTGATCGATCAACAGCTGGAGTTGTCCAGCCAGCGGCTAGACGAGCTGGTACGTTTCGGGGACGAACTGGTCAGCAATGTACGTGTGGCCAACGAGCGGCGTGAGCTGAACCGGCGGATGTTCGAGTCCCAGCAGCAGTCCATGACACAAATGCAGCTGCAACGTGAGAGCATCGAGACGATGGCCAAATTCGAGGACATTAAGGCACGCTGGACGGAGCTGGAGGAAATAAACGAGCCGATGATGCTCTGGGATCAGATCGAGGAGCAAAAGAAGCGCATCGCTGAGATAATGCAGCGAAAGGATGAGATGATTGACGCTTGCCAAAAGGAGGTCGATCGCATAAATGCCAAATACGACTTCGATCGGGAGCGTCAGTCCCAAGACCTGTGCTGCCTAGTAGAGCGCGTCGACCACCAGGTGGAGGTGCTGAAGGAGGCCTACAAGCAGCATCTGCAAATGCTTCGTCACACTATCGAGGAGGAGCGTCAGCTGTTTGCCGTCAGTGCCGTGGAGAAATGGCGTACCTTCTTCGATGCCCTCAACAAGAACTTTGATGAGAAGGCCAATCTGGTGCGGTCCCGTCAGCAGTTCTATGCCAATCAGACCCAGCACATCAACGAGTCCCAGGAGGAGTTGACCAAGAGCACACGCATCCGCCTGGAAAAGGAGTGCGAGCGCTTGGAGCTTGAGCTACGACGCACGCGGGATAATGTGCTGATGAACTCGGAGAAGCTCGATTACAACTACCAGGTTCTGCAAAAGCGCAACGAGGAGAACGTGATAATCAACAACCAGCAGAAGCGGCGGGTGGCCCGCCTCCATGAGTCGATTGGACGCATCCGTCGCGCCCTGAAGAATCTTCAGCTTTCGGGCAAGCGGAACATAGAACGTCTGTCGCAGGACATCTATAAGCTGCACGCCAATATTCATGAAATGGAGACGAAGGCTCACCAGGCGCGCCTCAACAACAAGGAAAAGTTCAACCGCATCTGGGAGATCAACTTCAAGGAGCTGAATCAGCTTGTAGATCGTGTCTACCACATCGACCGCATCATTCACGAGCAGCAGCTGGCCCTTCACTGGGAGCCGCCCATTCCTCCGATACGCAACATAAACAAGTCGCGCCAGAAGCACAACAACGTCTTGGAGCGATTCGATTTGCGTATAGGTCGGCTGCCCAAGAACCGGGTGCTGCCCCAAGATGGAGCTAAGTTCAAGCCGGACATAAAGGAGCTGCCAATAGAATCGTTGCGTCTGATGCGGAACTTGGTGCGAAAGCTGTCGGACCGCGGTGGCTTTCTCATCGAGCAGCGCCTGATCAAGATACTCGAACCCTACTCGGAGGAGGACAAGTGCCTGGTGCGACTGGACAACATATTCGCGGCTCTGCGAATTCAGCGTCTGTCCGATGTACAGGAACTGACGCAGGTTTTTCTGCCGTATACGTACTGTCCAAATTGCCAGCCGGGCGGTCTGAGTCCCCGCAAGTGCGCCGAGGTCTTCATGAAACACCAGACTTCGAGCCGACTTGACCCGGACGTACAGGCTCAGATGGACGACCAGGAATTGCATCGCGAACAGGAGCACCATATAGATACGTTCATGGTGAAGGGTTATGAAGCGGCCAAAGCCTGCAAGAACCACTATCTGGTGATGGAGCCGGCCCTCTGCTTGCACGCCATGAATCTCTACACGACCAAGATGCACAAGCAAATGTACCACAACATGCCCGGCCGTCAATCGATCGCTGTCAATTTAATCCCGTTTTCGGATAAAGATATCCGCAATTTCTGGCGCCAGTTTGCCGGCTGCTTCCCTCCGGCCAAATGCAAGCTGTGGAAGACCCTCGAGCATGGCCTCAATCACTACGTGGAGGTGCTAAAGATGCGTGTCCAGTACGACGCGGAGGTTGTGTTCCTGCGCCGCCAGAACGATGAGCTGCGCCATCTGCTGCAGAAGTTCAAAGTATAATCCTTAATTTTTCCATATTCCACTCATATCACGAAATTTTGATGCCATTTTCGACAAGCGCCCGATAAATTTCAATTGTACTTTCCATACCCTTTTCGGCTCCAAATTAAGCTTTGATAGTCCCCCACCCATCTCCTAGCTTTGCTCACCGTTACATGATCATGAGCAATTTAAAAGCTCTCCCCTACCCTACCGAGTATATTGGCGAGTATTTGCCAATTTGATGCCCGAGCTTGATTTTTCTAATCGCAAAATTATTTCTCATTTGCACTTTTGATCTGGCGCCCGATAAATTATAATTTGTGCTTTCCTCTTTTCGCTCTTTGACATCGTGCCGTCCCGCTCTTAGCTGTGGCTCAACGAAATCGCTCAAAGCTGCATTCCTACACTACTCAACACAATATTTGATCAATTCTACATACCATTTGGGTGGGATGGGGTAAAATTAGGCAATTTTAATCATCAAGTTGTGAATAAATAATTCAAGTTATACTTTTTTATACCTTCTGGTGGTCAAAGCCGAATTACGTCTAGGAACAAATTTTTACACTTTATATATAAATTCTTTTGTTTTATATTTACATATTTCGGGAAAATAAAATCCAAATCATAGCCATATTATTTAGCTAGACTAAACAACATTGAAACACTCGATCTGTAAGCACACCTTTTACCTTTCTCTTTCGCTTGGGGCCAAAATGCTGTTGCACAGTGCCATTATCAGCCCACTGCCGTCGTCTTGTCCAACATGCCGATGATAAAGTAGTGCCTGGGCCTGCCATAAAATGTTGGTTCTGTCGCGGGATCGGTGCTGTTACGGGGCCGGACCGCCGGTGGATTGTCCAATTGGCTCAAAGTGCACGGCGCTCCCCACACGCAAATGGGAACAAAAAAAAAACCAACGAACAGAAATGTTTAAAGTGCAAATAAACAACATTTATCGGTGGGTTTTATTGGGCAGCATTCGATAAAATTAACCGGCGCCGATCCGATCCGATCTGATCCGAGCGCTGAAGGTTGCTTCTGTTGTTGAGGCGGACTTCCCTGCTGGTCAACGGCCAACGGTTGTAATATTAGTGCACATAAAACAGAAGCGTAATCTTATCATCGCTGTTTCATCGTGTTTGGCACTTTTGTGTGGTGTCGCCGCACGCAACACCGCAAACGGTTGGGGACACGGACAGGGGTCGAGCAGCGAACATAATGGGACAGCCCACGATTATTCCTTCCACCCAATTGGTGTCCATTGCCGCCGCCGAGCAGGAGATGACCGCCCTGGCAGTGTTGGCCCGCCAGCGGGAGGACGAGCAGGCCAACTACTCGGTCTACCTGGAGGATGCGCAGCTGTTTGGCCAGCTGGACGAGCTAAGAGGCGACGAAGACACTGAAGACATGGAGCTGATGATGTTGTCGCCGGGGGCAGACTTTGACCTGATCGATCTGGTGAACGGGGTGAGCTCTTCCTGACAATAATCCCCACTAAGGCGCGACAAGATACTAACCAAGCACCACACCGTGCCACACGCAGGCCCTGGATCCCACAGGCAATCACCACCACCCGAACACGCGACTGCAGAGCAGGCCCAAGCGGACCGCCAAACAGGGAGGACCGCAGGGAGCACCGCATGTCTGCGACGTGTGCGGCAGACGCTTCTCGGAGGCCTACAACCTGCGCATACACAAGATGACGCACACGGACGAGAAGCCGCACGTGTGCGATGGCTGCGGCAAGGGTTTCCGGCAATTGAACAAGCTGCGCATCCACTATGTCACCCATACGCCGGATCGGCCGCACAAGTGCGACATCTGCGGCAAGGGCTTTCGCTTTGCCAACTACCTGGCCGTCCATCGTCGCCTCCACACTGGCGAGAAGCCGTATTCGTGTTCGGTCGAGGAGTGCGATCTGACCTTTCACTCAATTCATGCGCGCCGCATCCACACCAAGCTGCAGCATGCGGCTCCCGTTCAATCGGATGCCGAGCAGGAGCAGCCAGAGACAACCACAGCCACAGCCACTTCCACTTCCACTTCCTCACTGTGCTACACCTGCACCATCTGCGGCCGGGTGCTCACAGATCAGTGCTACCTGAACACGCACATGAAGCGGCACTACAACCAGCGTGACTTTCCCTGTCCGCAGCCGGAATGCGGCAAGCGCTTCTTCAGCTCCTCCGAGCTGAAGCATCATCAGATCGCCCACACCCAGTATCGGCCGTACGCGTGCACTCAGTGCCCGGCCCGGTTCCTCAGGAAATCCAATTACAAACAGCATTTGAAAATACACGAGCGCTGAGACACGATTGAGGGTCCACTTCTGATTGTTTGCCTTTGCCTTTGCCTTGGGGTCTAGCTTCTTGTTTGTTTTAATTGATGTAAGTGTTTATTTAAATATACGTTCCATATGTTTGTCTTTATCTGTATGTTTTGTATATTAGATATATGTATATATATATATATATATTCTTGTATTTATACGTTTTATATATATATATATATGTATGTACGGTGTGGGTATTCTCCTCCCGTTGATCTGACTGTTTTAAGGGCTCTCTGTTGTTGATCTCTGTGTGTGGTGTGTAAGCATAACTTATAGATTAAATTACATTACATGATTTTTGTGGGTCTGGGATCTGATCTAGCAAGAGTGTACATACAATATATAAAAACAAGCGATTCGTTTAGCTTAAATAATAATCGTTAAGGGGTTTCCGCGGCGATTCTCATTTATTCGGCCGATGTTCTCCGAATCGAATCACTTGAGCGATCAAAAGATGACAAACAAAAAACAAACAGAAAACAAAACAGAAAAATAGAAGCCACTCGCATACAAATATTTTTGGTTGAATGATATATAAAAAAAAAACAAACAAATAATAAAAAAAACTTACATCTAAAACTGGGTTCGGGGCTCTGCGAATGTCCACGTTAGAGGTCTAGACAAGCTAAATCTAATTACATGTTATAGAAGACGACTTAAAAGCTATGACCCAAGAAGGAGCGCACACTTGCCACAAGCAAAATCTGAGCCGCGTTCAACAGTCCAACAGTCCAACAGTCCATGCACGTGTGGTATACGAGTATATTGAATTTCTGAGCGCACACATCCATCACGAGACGAGCGAGTGTAATTGTAATTGACATTTGAGCTATGGTTCCATTCCTTACAGAATAAATGCAGTTTTGAAATTTTATGGGAGAGCTTTATCCCCCATGCTACGAGTAGCGGAGAGAGGAGAGGAGAGGTGATGTGAGGTTGGGTTTCCTTGATGGGATTGGGATGGCTCTGGCTCTGGCTCTGGTTGTTTGTGGTTCGCTCATTTTGTTGGGGCAAGTGCTTTGCATATACATATGTATGGGGATAATCTACGACTAACAAAAGGGGTTTGCTTTAATTTGTTTGTTTGATTCTTTAAAGAGTTTCCTCAACACACACACACATACAATCGAAACGTTTAACAACCATCAAATATGACATTTTGTATCCCAATTTTCCACAATCCGAATGGCAACAGGTCTCCTCTCCCTCCATTGTTTAACCGATTATCCTGTGTATAAATTTGTTCCTGCTTCCCTGCTCCCTCTTCGGGTGCGCTCTTCTTATGTACAATATGTAGCGTGTGGGGCCTGTTTTCTGTACTATTTTGTGTGTAAGCTTCCAGCTTGATAAATCCCAGTTTGTGTTCTTTTTTGTGTTTTTGTTTCTTTTTTTTCTGTTCTACTCTCTCGTTCTCTGGTCCTGCCTCACCCATTTATATGTATGTTTGTTGTTTTGCTTCTTTCACAAAGAATTTTGACTGTCGCTTCCAGCGCTGGCCCCCCCCAACACACAGGTGCGGGGGATTTCCGTACTCTTGTATCCTGTTTTTTGTGTATCATAAAATATATGTATCTCGAAAAAAAAAACAAAAATTTGTATCCCGAAGCTGCCTGGATTATTATTAACTTATCGAAAAAACACTGCAACCTCTCTCACGTTTCCACCTACACAGTATAGACCTAAACATGTCCTCTCATATATGTACATATATGGGTTTCTACCATACCATATATGTGCATCTGTATATCTGTTATATATAGCATGTATGTGTGAGTGGTTTTTCTCTTTGTGTATGGGATACACATACGCATCTGTGACTGCATCTACTTTTGGCTCTTTTCATAACTTTTTGTATGCCTGAAAACTTAATTCTTATGTGCTCTGCTGTTCTGCCTCTCGATTCCCGTTTCCCGGTTCCTGATTCCCGATTCCCGATTCGCCATTTCCCTTCACGCGCAAAAGTATGCAATGCAATGCAGATTCTGGAATTGTGGAATTCCGGAATGGGAACGAGGGGCCGCCCTACATTTGTGTGTTATTTGGTGGCTGCCTACGACATGGAGCTGCAGGGCAGTCGCGGCGATCCCATTTGGGTGAGAACGCGATCCAGCCACTGGAGTGGGCCATTCAGATGCAGCTCAATCCAGCAGGGCGTTGAGGTGACCGTCTGGCGACGATACTCGGCCCCCCAGCCCTTCACAAAGGACATTCGAATGGTGCACATGCGTGTCAGCTGGTAGACGGCCTCGAATCCCTGCGACACGGACTGGGAGAGAAGGGCGGCAAACTCCTGATTGTTGAAGATCTTCAGATTGCAGCCGGGCGGGATTTTGCAAACGGTGGCCGGATGCCAGCCGTAACGCTGATTGCAGTTCGGACTCTGCACGAATATGGACGAATCGCTGAGGCATTCGGCAAAGACCTCGCCGCCAATGTAGTAGAGTCGAACGCCTTTGCCGATATGACGGCGTGTCTGTTCGACAACGTCGTTGCGATTCACATTGGAGAGCAGACCGAGACAGAAGCGCTCCGAGTTGGAGGGATCTGTGAAGCCGTCCACCGTAATAGAGGGCTGGGAGGCATGAAAGGTCTCGCCGACCCGCGTGTTTAGCTCGTAGTAGGAGATGGAGCACCAGAAGGCTGGCTCGTGGTACATCACTGGGGCGGCATCGGCGGGCGGCGTCAGGCGCGACATGTTCATGTTGTCATTGGGATCGATGGGGTCCCCATCCTCGCTCATGTAGCCGGGTGGCGGGGTGCCCGTATTGGGAATGCTGCTGCCCACACTGAGCACGCTCGACTGCGAGTCCATGTTCTGGCCAAACGATAGTGGCTGCTGGTACGACGAGGATGACGATGAGGAGGTGGCCGAAACCAACAATGAAGCGGAGGCTGATGCTGAGGAGGAGGTGACCGGACCGCTGCCACCACCCAATTCCATATACTGTGGCGGACTCAACGAGGCGCTGCGTATTATCGCAGCATTATAATCGGTATTATTTGGTATCTGATGCGTGTGGTTGTCCAACGGATAGTCCACTATGGAATCGGGCGGTGTGGGCAGCGACTTGGGCACCAATATCGACAGCTCGATCTTCTTGTAGTGATACGGATTGATGCAGATCTCGTCCTTGCGCAAGTGGAAGGCGTACTCGCAGTGATCCAGCGGCTTCAATTCATTCTGTGACTGCAAATCCGGCCAGCGCCATAGACGGCAGTAGATAACGTGCGGCAGACCCTTCCGCAGATGCTCGCCGGGTGGGACGGGCTTACTGCGCGGCACTGTCACGCAGCGCGTCTGGCAGTTCTGTGTGGAAATGGCACGCTCTAGCTCCTCCAGCTGCGAGTTCTTTTTGATCTTCTTCACCAGATTCTTGACGGCCTTCTCCGACCACTTGCCCTCGACGGTGTTATCTTCGTTGCCCTTTTTGAGTGCTAACAATCGTTTGACCACTTGCGGGGTGAATGGCAACATCTCACGGTCGGTGGACACCAGAGCCACACGCGCACACAACGGCACAAGGGGTGGGGGCTGGGGCTGGTGCTGGCTCCTCTCTGCTGCTGGTGCTTGGCGGCTCCTGGCTGAAGCTCGGGCCAAATCGGGTGCGTGGGCAAGCAGTTGAAGACGATCGCTCTCTATCTCTCTCTATGATCTGGGGGAATTTTCTTTGTATGCAATTTGTGCAAATTTAAAAATTCCTTTGCTTTCCCTCTCCCTCTGAGCGTTTGGCGAGGCGTAGAGCGTTGTCAGCGTTTCTAGAATTGTTTTATACAGTTAGTTTTGGATCTGTCTGTGTGTGTGTGTGCGGGTACATGTGTGTGCGGCATGCTAAAATAATTAAAACTTGATAATTTGCATGCATGTGTGTGTGTATGATTTGATTCCACTTGTACATGAGCCTGCGCTGCGGACTGGCTGGATCTGATAAAAAACACTACCGAACGATGTGTTGATGACGATGCTGGTGATAATTGGTCTACACGGGTCGCTGCTTGGCTTGGTGCTTCGTGTTGCTAGCACTGTGCATAGGCGATATGATATGGCATCGAGGTAATGTAATCTAACAATTTTGGCCATTGATTTCGATTACCAGAATCAGCCTCAACTCTGGGCCATAAAATGCAATCGTCTTGTGGGAGAGATTTAGCATGCTTCTCTGTGTGTGTAGGTGTAAAGGCAGGGCAGACATCAGAACATCGCATCTACACACTACGGCATGTGTGTCTGTGTGTGTGTGTGCATGCATGTGCTTCTGTTGTTATTTGCCATTACTGCTGTCGCTATTGCTGTTATAGTATGTATTGTGTGAGCCAAACAAGGTCAAATATCTGTCTGCAGACACACACGGATACACAAACGCAGACGATACTTTGAAAACAAGACGCTTTAAATTATTGTTCGTCAAAGCTATTGAGCGATTTGCGGGGCAGACTTTTTGGATTTTTCCATTAACAGAGGTGGCTATATATCATGTCGCGAATATGAGATTTTGTCACTTTATTTCAAGTTGTATGTTTTTTCCCCTTCTGCAATGCCGCGAAGGGGAATGGGGGATGACAAGAAATTAAACACACACACACACGCATGTACATACGCACACAAGCATGGGCTCTTTGATTTTGAATGTATCCATTTTACCTGTACAAGCGTTTTTGCAAACGGCACTGGCACTGGCACCGGCACCTGAGCTGCACTCCTCTCCAACTCCACTTCCGCTGCTCCGATGGCCAGCCGATGGCAATTCAAGTGTTAGACGGGCAATTAAGACAAGTAGCAGCACACTTCCACTTTTGAATGCAATTGCAATTGCGTTGCGTTGCGTTGGTGGGAAAACAGGGACGAGAACCAAGACAGCGACGGCGACGACGACAACGACAACCAAGCGGCACCGGAACCGGGCGCGTACATCAAGGTGATGGAGCAGAGGAGGGTGTTTAGGGGGGTGGCCACCGTTTTTCAATTTGTGTATATCTTTTGCGCGCGCCAGAAAGTGACAGCTAGACACACAAGCAAAAGCACAAGAACCGCAACACACACAAACACGCACACAGTCACAACAAAGAATTTTATTCTATGTTCCTTTGCGCCGTCTGCTGCTGCTACAGCTACTGCTGACCTTTCGCACTTTATGGATACTTTTCTAGTCCCCTTTCCACCGCCACAGCTGTTTTTGTCACTTTTCGAGTCGGCTCTGCTGGCTCTCGTCCGAATTGTTGATTACTTAATGCCCGTTTTTACTTGACTTTTCTGATAGTGCGTAATATAATGCGTTTCCTCTGGGCTGAGATCTATTCCGAAAAAACCACACCACTGTGTCTGCGTCGCTGCTGTTTATTTCACATATACGCAGTTCTTATTCGCTTCTGCTTTGCTTCTTGCTTCTTTTCCCTATGCATATGCTGGCGTGCGTGCCTGTAGTGGTGTATGTGTGCAAGTATGTGTGCCCGCTGCCTTTGTCATTATCTGATTGTCAGATATCGAGTTGACTATCGATACGAATTGCGCTCGGGACTAGTTTATTTTTCACTTATTATGCAACCGAGCAAAAGAATTGTAACCAAACGGTTAAAAGATTAAACATATTTTTTTTAAATTGATCTGAGGTCGCCTGAGCGTATTAATAATTGATTGTACACGTTCAACCGCACGTACTTCTTCAGCTATCGATACTTAACTTTTGCCGGATATTTTCTGCCTGGCAACGCTGCTACATAACGTCAATTTTTGAAAGTTAATTTTAATTCAAAAGATTCTATCTTGAAAACATCATAAACACGTGTATACCGTTTATTTATACATATGTAAATATGTATAATAGTCATAATTTGTAATCTCCTTATAGATCAGGTAGACCTCTGCGAGATGTAGTATGGCGATAAATCGGAACGCCAAGCTAGCGAATTTCAAAGCTGTGGAACGGATAGCGATTCCCGATTCTTTCCTTCGATGCTAAGCAAATTGGACACGTCCACGCAACGTGCGTAGAGGTATTCCCTTTTATATCAGATAATTTATTGTTACTTAAAATTTTACTTATTGCAAATTGTCAGTGAATGTCGAATCAAATAAACTTAAGTTTTTGAAGAGCGCCAGGTTTTCTGCAGGGCCTGTTTGACTACCTCATCAGGCGACGGGGTATCAAACCGAAATCGTTTCACATTGCTGCCATAGTCCTCACGCCGATACATTTTCAGGTGCTGTTGCTCCAGTAGCGAAATGGCGTATTTGACCTGTGGCTTCCGTGGCTCCGGGTAACCTACCACGGCATCCAGCAAACTCCCAATGACACTGTGATGCTCTGGAGCCAGCAAATCGCTACCATCGACGCTCATTGAGCATTTGTCGTCCGTCAACAAGCATATCGAGGGGGCAAACCGCTTCACAGGATCATAGGCAATAAATGGTATATCAAATGTGTGCGTGTTTTGCGCTCGCTTAAGTCGAGCTTTGCTTGCATATTCCTTGGGCGGCGCATTTTGGTTGCCTTTTATCACGGCTGTGGTCAAGTCAATGAGGGGCGCGGCTGTTGGCACAGGATGCAGGGGCGGGATTGTGTCGCCCCCGTCGCCACCCGATATGTGCAGCCGATCCACAGCGCGCTCCAGTTTGGGCAGCGCCCCGCTGCTCATGTTCTGACTGAGGAGCTTGTTCAGCAATGGAATATTTAGTTTGGCCGCATCCGCCGACGGCTCTCCCGGTGCAACGCAGAGCTGTGGTATAACAAAGCCAGAAAATGGCTGGCCTGCCGTCTTTTCACCTTCGGATATTTGACGACGCCGCTTCATTTCATTGAGGAGGAGCTTATTGCGGGCATCCACTGCCTGACGCTCCTTCTCCTGTTCAGCAAGATCGATGGGCGTTGGGTTGCCTTTGTTCAGCTGCGGTATCTTCAGCTGGGGTATGATCAGTTTGAATGCGGATGTGTTCAATTTTGTTGATTCCGAATCATTTTGGAGGCCGAGCTTTTGTTGAATCGCCTGGTGAAGGCTCGGCTTTTGATTGCTCTCCATTTCAAGCCTAGTGTTTGTGTGATAGAGCCAACGGGACCGAAAAATCTCTTTGCAATGTTTTGTTATGGTTTTCTTGTGACGTTTGCTTGTGTTTGTGAGCAGGGTTGTATTGGAATATACCCCAGCAACACAGAAAATACTTCCGATACCTGCAGTTAGTGTTGAACAACGTTTCAGAGATTCAAAAAATGCGCTGCAAATTGGGTTTCAACGTTTTTTTATTTTCATTTTTCGTATAAATATGTATATTTCTGGAACATTTGTGAATAAAATGCAATTTGATCGCAGTTTTTTCTAGTTTAAATTCTATGTAACATCCAACCGGCAAATAGGTCCCTCCTCCACCATCTTTAGGTCGACCTTGGGTCCAACCAAATCGCGAATATTGTTAATGCCATACTTGATCATGGTGGGTCGTTCCAGCGACAGGCCCCAGGCAATCACATTAACATTCTCCGGCAGACCCATGGGCAGCAGCATCTCCGGCCTGAAGACGCCTGAGTTGCCCACTTCGATCCATTTGGCCAGACCCGGATGGTAGCAGAAAATCTCCATGCTCGGCTCGGTATAAGGATTGTAGGCCGGCTTGAACTCCAGTTGAGTGATGCCCAACTTGCGGAAGAACTCGTACAGCGTACCAATCAAATCGCCCAACGTGAGGCCCACATCAGCGATGACGCCCTCAACCTGATGGAACTCGGCCAAGTGGGTGGCGTCCAGGGTTTCGTTGCGGAACACCTTGTCGATGCTGAAATATTTGGCCGGCTTAAAGCCACCCTCCTGGTTGGCTAGCTTGAACAGCATGCGAGCACTTACGGCCGTTGTGTGGGTGCGCAGAAGGTTCTTTTGTGCATCCTCCAGCTTCCAGTCATAGCCATAGCCAATGGAGCCGTAGCCGCCCTTGGAGTGGACGCTCTTCACGCGTTCCAAGTATTCCTGGGGGAACTTGTGGCTCCTGGCCGGATGGTTGATGAAGAAGGTGTCGTGGGCATCGCGAGCCGGATGCTGCTGCGGTTGGAACAGGGCGTCAAAGTTCCAGAACGAAGACTCCACATAGTTGTTGGTGGGCATTTCAGAGAAGCCCATCTCCAGGAATATCTGTCGGAACTCGGTACGCACCTTCAGCAGCGGATGCAGATGGCCACGGGTCGGCGGTGCCCCCAAGGCATCAAAGTTGTACGACTTGAACTTTAGCTGCTGCCACAGGCCGTTCGTGAGCATCTCTACGGTAAGATCAGTCTCCAGTTTGGTGAGCGTGGTCGCGAATTCTGGCCCCTTGGTTAGGACAAAGCTCTTGATGGTGGTCTCCTGCAGCAGCTTGCGCTTCTTGAAGTCGGCCACCTCATTGGCCGGCAGGTCGGTCTTTCCTTGTGCCACCTGATTCAGCAACTCCTTGACGGTATCCACAATCTTTTCCACCTTGCGCTTGACCAACGGCGGCTTCTCGCTCTTGTCCACCAGTATCCAGCCGTGGGCCATGGCCTTGCTGAAGCCAACCTTGGCATTGGGGTTGCCATTGACTAGTAGGAGCACACGCTGCTCGATTCCACCCTCTGGAACATTTGCAAATATGACAGCCTCATGGCTGCCACACAGGGCCACATGACGACCCTCTTCGGTGAGCTCCAGGGACTTGTGTGTGACTGTCGTGGCATTGACCAGGTCACCATGCGCCTGGATGCTTTTCAGTGCACCGACAATTTTCTGGTGATCGATGTCGAAGAGAGAGGCCAGGTCCAGAGTGTCCACCTTGTCGGTGTTATCAAGATGCTGAAGAATACGTTCCGTGAGTTCGGTACTCATCTTACCACTATCAATTCGCAGTTGGCCGGTAATGAAATTACGATAAATGCACACAAAATCTACTAAATCTCGTGTTGCCACGCAGGAAGAGGAAGAAAGCCGACAGTGCTGGCAAGCGTGCGTTTAGCTACGGTATGACCAAAACTGTCCGCATCAATCAGCTGATCGTGCGATGCTTACAGCAGCAAATTCTAGCAATATTTTCAATTTCTGGAATGACTTTTGTTTTCTCTTTCCCTTTTCAGCACAAAATGTACCAAAATACATTGCAGCTAATCGAAATTTTCCATAAAACGCATCTGAACATCTCCTATGGTCGGAAGCCGCACCAGTGCGACATGTATGGGAAGCTACTCTCCCATCGCAGTGCCCTGCAGAACCTAGAGACGAGGCACGTGGAGGAGCGAAGATGGCCATGAAAATGGTGCTCTAAAATCTTCTACATTCGAAACAACAGGAAACCATCGCTGCTGCTTGAAAATGTAACCAGTAACCGCGGTAACCAGTGTGACCAGTCCGCGCCAATAAAAGTGTTGCAAGACACTGTGAGGTAGAAATCAGCTGTTCTGTCATAGCATCAAGAAAAGAAGCGTTCGCGTTGTTTCTCAAACATACAATTTTAAAAGAAAAAAAAGGAAAGGGGATCGTCCCGTCTAACTAATAACAAATTTGCATATCGGAGGACGAACGATCTAACCACCAACCATGCTAAAGAGCCTCAAAGCGGACACCTACGCCGGCATGGCCAATGCCAAATGCGGCGAGATCTACTTCCAGAGCCTGGACAGTTTCCGCATCGATTGTGCCTTTTGTGAAATGAAGAGCTTTGTGTTTAATGACTTTCTGCTGCACGTCCAGAACGTCCACTTTGAGAACGGCCTGCTCAGGACAGAGCTGGAGGAGTTCAAGGAGGAGAAAGAACCGTCGGAGGCCTCGCCAGTTCCCACTGAGCCACAAGTAAACACCTTTGCGTGGCACAAAATCGAACATGATAATGATGAAGATGACCTGCGCAGTGACAGTGAGTATGAATTTCTGACGGATGAGGAGAACAATGATCCCGATCCCGTCAGGGTCATTCTGAAATGGGATAATTCCAATGCAACCACAATCGACTCTTCGCGCCAAATGCGCTCTGCCAAAGTGGACTACAAGGAAGAGTCCGACCCAGAGGGCGACGACTGTACAATCGACCTGGATATGGATATAGATCTAGATCTGGACAATCCCGACGAGTCGACGACCAAGAAACCACATTCCTGCCCGCACTGTGACAAGACCTATCAGGAGCAGAAAACTTTGGATCGGCACATGGCACGCCAGCACAAGCCCGTGGATCCCGAGGTGGAAGCAGACTACGGGATGTGCCAGATACTTGATTCGAGACCTCAGCCAGTATACAAGTGCGAGCAATGTGACAATACATTCTTCACAAAGCTAACGTTGGTGGTTCATATGAACCGGTACCATAAGATCAGACGCGAGGCAGCGATCTCGGCAGCATCCCCATCGTTCACTTGCGTGGAATGCGATACAGAGCTGCCGCGCCTGCGTCTGCTCGACGAGCACATGCTGAAGGTACACGGCGGACCAGCGTGCGCGATCTGCAAACGGCGCTACAAAACGCGGCACGAGCTCAAGCGCCATCAGCTAAGGCACAACAGCGAACGGAACGTGCTGTGTTCGCATCCCGGCTGCGGAAAGACCTTCTTCACCAAGCGCCACATGCGCAATCACTCCAAGGTCCACACGGATGAGAAGAACTTCATTTGTGAGAACTGCGGCTACAGCTGCCGCAACAAGGAGACGTTGCGCGTTCACATCCGCAGTCACACGGGCGAACGTCCGTTTGGGTGTAAGGTGTGCGACAAGCGATTCCCATCTCATTCGGGCCTGCGCGAGCATATGGCCATGCACTCGACAGATCGGCCGTATGTGTGCAATGTCTGCAATGCCACCTTCTCCCGCCAGAAGGGACTGTACCATCACAAGTTCCTGCACTCGGATACAAAGCAGTTTGTCTGCAAGCTGTGCGGAAATGCCTATGCCCAGGCGGCCGGATTGGCTGGTCATATGCGCAAGCATCGCAGCGAGGAGCTCAACGGTGGATCGTAGAGCGCACGGGAAAGAGATAAATATAGAGAGCTCACGATCGGATGGATATGGCATTAAGTTACACACTTTATATATCTTCCAAATCATTTACGACCTTCTATTGTACAATTTCCGACTACGTTTAAGAACTCAGGCATAGTCTACAGCCATACAGGCACTCTTTTCAAATTTAGTTTTAGTTTAGTTCTACACGACACTCCACTGGTGTTTATTTGACGATTTCCGTAACTGCTTTTAAAATTTTTTGTATTGATAAAAATATATGTACCTACTGTACTATAATTTAATTCGTAACAATTCATGTGGCGGGCCCCCTGCTACCACTGTACTTTGTGCGCATTGCGGAGGTTGCACCTGAATGGTGTGTGTTTTGAAGTTGATGCCGCTTCTGTGTGTGCGCGCACGGCAATGGCCGAATTTAAATTTAGACAATTTGCTTTTGACAAACAATTAATCGAGTGAGCGAGCGAGCAGCAAATGCCAAATGGGTAAAGAGAGCGGCTAAACATAGTGCCAGCGATTAGCGGCAGCCAGCACTTGGCATGCCCATACGCTAAACGCAGCGTGGCAATGGTCGGTAAGATGACGGCAAAGACGAGACCCAAGAAGGAGACAAGAGACCTCCTGCGGCATATGTGCGAGTACTGCGGCTACAGGACGCGCATTCGCGGCAATCTGATGGTCCACAAGCGGCGACACACCGGCGAAAAGCCCTTCAGCTGTGACACGTGCCAGGCAAAATTTGCAGCCCGCTATCAACTGAACACGCACCGGGAGCTGCATCTGGACGTGAAACAGCGACGCAGTCGTCACATGTGCAAGGATTGTAATGTTGGCTTTCTGAGTGCGCGCGCTCTCTACCATCACCGGCCACTCCATGGGCAGGGGAAGCGGTTCAAGTGCTCACAATGCGACAAATCCTATGCCCAGGCGGCGGGCTACGCACAGCACAAGCGGTGGCATCGTCAGCGTAATCAGCGTGCAACGGCCGAGAGCTCCATGGAGCTAAAGATGGAAATGGGAAGTCAGAAAGGCAACGAAAACTGACTGGGCGCTCACATGCTGCATCAGCAAATTGTTAATTACCTATAATGCTTTCCTATTACGAATAAATTTTGCTAGTAAAACCCAATCCGTTAGATATTTGGTTTGTGTCGACGCTTTCGAGCACTGTTGTCTGTTGTATCTGCTATCGATAGGCGGTGATTCCAGCGATCTATCTAAATCCTCGGTGGCCCGTTTGTTTACAATTTTTGTTGCTGGTTGATTTTTCTGCATGTGTTCAGCATGCTGAAACACTGCCTAACACATGTGGACTACACGCGTCTGCATGCCCAGCAGAAAATGCAACCCAAATGCGGCGAGATCTTCTACGAGCAGGAGTGCAACAGATTCCACTTGGCTTGCTGCCTGTGCGATATGAAGCACTTCTCCTTCGATGATTTCGTGCGGCACATTCGCAACGTACACTTCGACAAGCAGGGAAGGCCGCAGACGCAGGCGGTGACTCTGCGTGCTTCGGCTCAGCCCCTGCCTGACACTGCGGGGGAGAAGCTCCTCCTGGCAGGGGAATATGATGATGTACAGGCGGCGAAAGTCCCTATCTCATTGCAGACGGGAGACACTCAGAAAACTGAAGGGCTCTGGGGGTGTGGAGAGAATTCGCCAAAATCTAACAGTGACGAGTGCGACCTAGAGCCAGAGGCCATCTTAAGCAGCCCCTGTGAGAGGACAGATGAAGAGAGCGAGGACCAGCAAAGTATTTTCAAGGTATCATGATCATGGCCTTCCCTTTGGTTTTCTATTACACTATTGATTAAACTATCTAATGCAGCGGCAGCCAAAGGAATTCTGCTGCAAGCACTGTGATCGAAAATACACATCGGCGAAATACCTGAATACCCACATAAAGATGAGCCATCCCCACCCGAAGGCGTTCAAGTGCAGCGACTGTGGAGACGCCTTCGATGTGGTACGGGCCCTGGAGGCGCATCGGCGCAAACTGCACACTGATTTCAGTTGCAAACTGTGTGCCAAGATCTTCAAGAACTCACGGACTCTCCTCCGTCATGTGCAGGGACATTCTGGTGTGCGGCAGTACAAGTGCGACTTTGAGAATTGTGAGAAATCCTTTACGAACAAGCACAACCTCAACTCGCACCGCCGCATCCACAAAACGGAGCGCAACTATGTTTGCGAGCTGTGCGGCTATAGGTCGCGATACCGCGAGGCTCTCATCGTCCATCGACGCTCCCACACGGGCGAGAAGCCCTTCAAGTGTGAGACCTGCGCGCGCTGTTTCGCCTCGAAGTCGCTGCTGAACGAGCATCAGCCGATGCACTCCACGGAACGGCCCTACAAGTGCAACGATTGCGAGGCAACCTTCTCCCGGCCCAAGGCTCTCTATCACCATAAGCATCTGCACCTGGCAATCAAAAAGTTCAAGTGCAAAGTCTGTGGCAATGCCTACGCCCAGGCGGCGGGGCTCTCGGCCCACATGCGGGGACACAAGCAGCAGGCAGCCAACGGTGTGTCAGACGGCAAAGAAATGGATATGCTATTTACCTGCTAACCGGGCAGAACCACGGAGTACGTGGTATATATATAAGCTAACGTTGTACATATAGAATACTACATAAAACGATATTTCCGATACTCAGTCAGTGTATATGTTATCTTAGAGAAAGAAAGTTAGCGCGTGGATTGATTTCGTTAATCTAGTAAATATGGTTATTCCCTGCGTTTAACGGTTTTTCTGTATCTCCAAAAGTGTGGGTGGCGCAGACTGGGTCTCTTAGGTCTGGGCGCTTATGAAGACAGACAGACGTAGGTCTATCGACCCGGCAATTGATGCTGATGAAGAATGCATATACTTTATGGGGTCGGAAACTCCTTCTTTTGGCTGTTGCACGCATTTACACAAAGCGGCTAATATATCCCTATTTTATTGGACATATAAGGATGTCGGAAAACCCTTCCTTGAATTCCCTCAAGCAAAGTTTATGGAATGATAGACACGTGTGGTTACATCTTCAACATTTATTTCAAACAGGAACTTATTTCTACGCACACAGTATATATGTATGTAAAGTTACATATAACCGATTTTAATTTGGTTTCCACTCCTTCCTTTGCCATCTGTCCATTTAGGTATATGTATTATACATATATATCAAGTTTTGTCCCGATATTAAATAGTTTATAAGCGCATATATGTATGTAATATTACACATATCTGTTTTCTTATTCATTTAGAAATGGTTATTGGTTATTAATCAATTCAGCGGTTTACTGAATATAGTTTGTTCGTTCACGCATATAGGTATGTAATATTCATATGTATATCTGAGGATAATTTGATTTTCTGTTTTGGTTTCCTTGCATCTCCCTTTGCTAGTTTTATATATGGTTAGTGTACACAATTAATGTCTGTTCTGCAGTTAAATATCCATTTATATAAAGTAGTTTGTTTGTTTGCGCATATATGTATGTAATATTCGATATTACACAAGATTTTAATATTTGTTTAAGGTTTTGGTTCGAGACTCCATACTTTTCTCAGTTTTACAATACACTCCATATTCGAAGAGTGGGCAGAGAAGTAACATATGGAACTATTTACAATTTTTGGCCTTCCCTTCTCTGCCCAGAAAATCAGAGATAGAGAAAACAGTAAGAACTCTTTTTGCGCCGAACATATTTGGGTATCCTATCCTCTAGCCAGTATTTAATTGGAATGCTCTTGCAATACCTGTACTTCCTAACGACCTATTCGTCACACATGAGCCGCTGTGCACCACATATTGTATATGCATTTTACTTAAGCTTAGGGCCATCCTGCACACAGTATTTGATTACAAAAACACATTTACATGATGACCCTTGAGTACAAATGCATATTTTGAAAAGGTTTAACATTGTCGTTTTGACTCTACTTGTTCAGGATACAGTATTGGATTGAAACACCATAGACATACACAATAATATCTGTTGGTTATAGTACATACAATACGTCAAGTACATATAAGCATATATACAATACAATACTTGGGTATCCGTCTAGACACAAAGTGCGAGTAGTATTATATATGCAATCTGTTAATTTAGGTGCTAGGCAAACTGCATTGTTCTGATAAATTTTATAAAATTTATCAACAATTTATGATTTCGCTACACCGTCAGGTGTAGGCCAATATTTGATTACAATATATAGGATCAAAGCTAAAAGTATGCATCATTTGTCCATGACATATGTATGTATGCTTTTTGCATTTAAGTAATTTTCATTTTCTTTTTTGCCATCACTTGAAAAATGAGCCCTCTGAACTGCAACTAATCTCAAAAATCAAAAATATATAATATTTATATCTATATCGACCAACTGTCCTTGACAGATGCTCTTAACAGGGGAATATGGTTAACAAATTTTTACGCCCAGACCCGTATGGTGTAATCCCAGCTGCCCGTGGATAGGGCTGTGCCGTCGGGCGACACCTGGACGCAGGAGACCTTGTTCTCATGGCCATACAGCAGACAGACGCGCTCCGATTTCAGAGTGTCCCACAGGTTGACGGTGTAATCATTGTAGCCAGCAAAGAGCAGGCGGCCGCTGACCGAAAAGTCCACTGAATTGACACCAAATATGATGCTCTCCTTGGCGAAGACGGCCACCTCGCGATCGGCCCGCATGTCGTACAGACGGCAGCTGCTGTCATCCGATCCGGTGGCAATCGCATCTCCGCAGGGATGGAATTTGACGCTGTTCACATCGGACTGGTGGCCCTCAAAGGACTGGACAACATGGCCAGAGCGCATGTCCCAAATGAAGGCCATGCGATCGCAACTGCCCGAGACGAAGGTGTTGCCCGTCTCGTTGGGTGCCAAATCGATGGCCATCACATCCCCAGAGTGGCCGTGAAAACTTTGCAACAATTGACCGGACTCCACGTCCCACAAAGCACATGTCGAATCACCGCTGCCCGTCAAGATCTGCTGATCCGAATTGGGATAAATGCAGCACGACATGTAACTTGTGTGGGTGCCAACAGTGCGCTTCTTGGCGGCCATCTCCTCATCAGAGGTGATTGGATAGACGGTTACCTTGTTATCCAGTCCACCACAGGCCACAAAGTTGCCTGACGGGGCGTATGCACAGGCCATGATCCAGGTGGTGGGCATGGTCACGGCATGCTCCTTGTTCGTAGTGAACGCATCCCAGATGATAAGACGGCCGTCCTGCGAGGATGAGATAATGTGTCGCTTGTCGGGGCTCCAGTCGGTGCAAAGCACCTTTGCCTGGTGTCCCTTCAGCACCTTGCGAGGCTTGATGTTGACGTAAGCAATTTGCTCCAGGCGCTCCGCAATGTTCGACAGATTGACGTCATTCAGCTTCGAGCGCTCCTCCTCCAATTTGGTTTTCAAATTTTCCGCCTCCTTCAGCAAGTTTGCCATTTTTTCATTGGCATTAACATTGCTGGCAGAGACAGCTCCCTCCGACATTTTCACTTAATTGTTTTCTACGTTTTCACCAGCGTCGATTCATCTGCTACTTCCAGTGTCAAGGCGAAAAATCAAGTGAAGAATCAATGGTGAAAAAAGATGTATACCAAATCTGAATACACAACGGGCCCTTGCGCACTAGCGCCTGTGCGGTCAGAGTTGCAGATGTTTGCCTTAAATCGATTTTTTGTCGAGCTTTTGGACAACCCTGTTGTACAGCTGGCGCTGAAAGCGCCATAATTTATATATAATTGATAAAAGATATATGTTTCTTAAGCCGTTTGGTAAGGACAAATTATAGTCACTTTAATATTCGGTTAATTACGATTGGTTTGAAAAGCTTTTGCAGGTAGTGCTGTAGAACTCAAGGAAAAACCGATTGCTCTTGCAACCGCACACAGCTTGTTGACAAACCTAACTCGCCAAATAATTATTTTCTTTCCTTTACGTTCGTTTACGCTACTATAGATACAAAGAAACGGCACATCAACTCCTATTTCGGATCAATCAAAAGTGCATAAAAAAATAATGCAACTTGAACTACGCGCCCATTTATTCAACGCTTTCGATTCGTTTGCCAACACTGGCCGCCCAGCTGATGTGATTTTTGGATGTCAGCCAACGGCTTGAGCTGGGGTTTGAGGAAACACAAACGACGCCAAACGTTAAACGCCTAACACCAAATGACTGAACTATTGTAGCGGCACCAGTGAGAGGGACCCCCTAACCATCAGCCATAAGTATTGGCTCAAGATGATCAAGTTGCAGTCATTGCCGGTGATAGGAACCGGCTCTTATCACAATTTTCGATGCGGTGAAGTTCTGTGCAATAGCCCCACCAGCTACGACATATGCTGTTCCTTATGCGGGCAGCGGATGCCATTTGGCGATTTTCCGCAACACTTCCGACTGCAGCATCTCGGAGAGGCGGCGGACGACGACTGCAAGATATTCGATGCCACCATAAAGATTGAAGATGATCCCATTGCCCACGAGAGCTTCGAGTTGGATGAGCAGGAGAATGTTGATCTGGAGCACATATCAGCGATCGATGAGGCCCAGGCCGTGGATGCAGATTCCACAGGCCGCCGTGAACGAGAGACTGCCATGAAAAACACTCTTGTGGAGACAGAGGAGGCGCTTTTGGACTTGGACCCGGACGCAGAGTGGACGGGAGAGGCCAGCGAGCCAATTGAAAACGCCGAAGAAGATGAAGAACCACCGCACCTCAAAGTCGACACGAAGGACATGTTGTTCCAGTGCGATCAATGTGATCGTGCCTACAACAGCAAGCGGAGCCTGCAGAGTCACAGACGTGTCAAGCACAACGACAAGGATGGCACCGTGCGGAAGCGAAAGCGTGGACCGGCAAAGGTCTACACATGCCCCGAGGAGGAGTGCAACCAGACGTTTCGCACCGAGCGCGATCTGCACGGCCACAGATGGAAGCACACGGGCATATTCTGTGACATCTGCGGCAAACCGTTTACCCAATCGGGCAACATGATGCGCCACCGTCAGCGCCACAGCGGTATCAAGCCATACAAGTGCCAGGAGTGCGAGGCTACCTTCTACACCCAGAAGGAGCTCACTTCTCACAACATTTGCCATACGGGCCGGATGCCGTGCATCTGTGAGGTGTGCGGCCGGCCCTGCCGCGATCGCGGTGTCCTCACCGCCCACATGCGACGGCACACTGGTGAGCGTCCGGCTAAGTGTGAGGTGTGCGGTAAAGCCTTCTACAGCTATCACGACCTCAACGTTCATGCCGTCTCGCACACCAATCATCGGCCCTTTGTCTGCGACGTCTGTGGCTCCACGTTCCAGCGCAAGAAGGCCCTGCGCGTCCACAAGCTGCTCCATTCCGAGCGGCGCAAATACCCCTGCAAGATGTGCAACAAGACATTTGCCCAGTCCGGCGGCCTCAATGCCCATATGCGCACCCACGAATTGCCCAAATCCAAGGGCACTGCCCACACCGCCACCACCACTACCAAGAGTGTCGCAAGCCAACAAGATGTTGGGCAGATGGAGACGGTGACCATCGAGCTGATCGACGAGAATGCGCCCGCGTCAACGACAACCATCACAATGGCCATAGACTTGAATGTGGAGGGAGCGGACACCCATTCCCATTCGCACTCCGACACTGGCCCTCCGACAGGCGCTGCTGGAAGTGCAAGTGCAACTGCTGTTGCAGGTGCTGGCACTTGGCATGTCTCGTAGACACGTCTATGCAACTAAGTAGTTTTTTAAGAGATTAAGACATTAAGTAGCTGTCATGCCTGCCCCGTCTGCCTGCTGTCCACAGGGTACCACAAGGGAGTATCAGCCTCTTCACTCGCTAAACAAGATAGTGGCGGGTATACGATAGCCTGCACACGCCGTCTATATAGAATTATATACGCTCAAGTGCAAAAATCCACAATGGACGTTATTAAAAACGCCAAACAGAAAACTTGACGAATTTTAATTTTAACGCAAATCGAATAATTTGCCGTGAAGTACACCTCAGAGAGGTTCAAGATTAGAGATGCCGATGCCCATTGATGATTGCATGCTCGAAGGGGGGGATCAGAGTTTTCTCAAATTGAGCATGGCCAACTATTCCATCCGTTTAACAGTCCCCGACGGGCAGTCGTCAGACAATGATGTGGATCGCCCTGCTATCGCTGTGCCTGTGCAGACTCTCTGGGATAGAGGTGTTGGCCACCGGTCAAGTTGGGGACATGGCCAGCTTCTATATGTACACCCCCAACAGTCCCGAACATCCCCAGAGGGTGTACACCAACGATTCAGAATCCGTTAAAGCCTCCCACTTTGATGCGCATCTTCCGACAAAGTGAGCAAAACGAGATGTGGGTCTGTTTGGGGAAGACGCTTCCTAATCATTGTCCTCCACAGGGTCATCATACATGGCTGGAGCGTTACGTATCTGGACGCACCAGTCAGTGAGCTGCGCACCGCCTACCAGGCGCGTGGAGCGTTCAATATCATCGCCGTGGACTGGGGTGTGATTGCAGCATTGTCGTACTTGGAGGCCAGGCCGATGGTGCCGGGCGTGGGCAAGTCGGTGGCACGTTTCCTGTCCTTTTTGGCCAACGAATTCAGCCTGGATCTGGGCCAGGTGGTGGTTGTTGCCCACAGCATGGGCGCTCATGTGGCCGGGTTCTGTGGCAAGGAGCTGAACACGACGAGCAAAGGGCAGCATCCCCTGGGTTATATTGTCGCCCTGGATCCGGCCCTGCCACTGTTTCGCATACCCAGCGAGAGCCTTCGCCTATCCAGCACCGATGCCAACTATGTGGTGGCCATTCATACGAATGGGCTTATGAAGGGACAGCTAATGCCGATGGGCCACAGCGACTTCTATGCCAATGGTGGAAGACGGCAGCCCGGCTGCGGTTTTGATCTGAACAACAGCTGTGCCCATGCCCGTGCCGTCCTTTTCTATGCGGAGGCTGTTCAGCACGTATCGCGCTACACGCCCTACGCCCGCTGCAGCGGATACCCCGAGTTCCTGCTCCTGCTCGGCAACTGCGACGGCGCCGCCCCGAAGAGCGTTGCGCTGGGTGACCCTCTAGATGTTGGCCGTACAGAGGGCATCTATAGCTTCAAAACCCATGAGGAGAGTCCTTATGGGGAGCCAATTTAGAATCCAATAAAGATTTCTTTACTTTGGGAGCATTAATAGAGAAGCGACGGCAGAAATCCTCAATTAGCGGTACAAAAATGTCCTTTAATCGGGGTTCCCTACTCAAGAGAGCTACCTCACAGCTGTTACCCAGAACTAGAGAGACAGATTCCGTTCAACTGTGAGTAGATCTTGAACAACTTATCGCTATGTGTATTGTATGTATGCAGTAGGTTCTACAGATGGTTTTTGGGGGTAACATAAGCCTTAACCGGTAAGGAGGACAACATCGGGACACCGATGTTTATATACCCTTGAAGGTAGACGACCAATAAATGTATATCTCAATAGAAGCGTGCTGCTTGGCAGCTACTAAATGATCTAGTGATTATAGGCAAAGAACTTAGAGAATAGTAGATTGTATATAAGCAGACAGACAGATAGACGGCAAACAATTTAAATGTTATTTAGTGGTCGTTCTCTGCATTTCAAGGGTACTATAAATACTATGAGATTTGACTATAAAATTAGTGGACGTACTCGGTTTACGCATGCTCAAATCCATCGAATTGAAGGGGTCGACGGGTTGGTTATTGCATATTAAAAACTAATTCGATATAGAAATACATTTAAAATGGGATCGACAAGGTTGAACAAATATAACTGAATTACTATAAGGTAGGGTCTACGAGTAGTAGAGATAATATCGATTAGTTTGAGTAGTAGCCATATATGTAGGTAGATGAGGCGCCTAAAATGATTAATGATCGACTGCATCTATACTACAAATGCGATTATGTATATATATATATATATATATCCTATATAAAACTATATAAAATATATATATGTGGATATTGTGATGCAATGATCAATTCGATGTGGAATGTTCTCTTCTCTTCCTTGGCGCGTCCAGTTTTCCAGTTCCAATTCCCTGTGTCCAGTTCCGTTTTTAAACCAGATTGATCTCAATCTTGATGAGCAGCCGATCATCGGCCACGAAGCCCAAGTGCATGATGTTCGATATGTTGGCATACTCCAGGAAGCCAAAGCCGCGGGTGCTGATCGCCTCGCGCGGCTGATGGAAGGCCAGTATCTCCGGTTTGGTCATGATGGTGTCATGCTGCGACTGGCTCGCATCCGTCGGATGCACCATGCACAGCTTGATGCGCCCCTTGAAGGGCCAGTCCAAGTGGAAGTCATTCTCCGATTGCATCAGATGCACATGCAGGCTGAGAACATGCGGCTTCCTCGGCTGAATGTTGAGACGGGCACAGAACTTGTAGCCATATGGAGAGGTGTAGCACTCGTGCGAGTACACCTGATTGTTGGCATTCGCCCGCAGGCGCGACACCAGGTTGCCCAGATGGCCAATGTTCCAGACAATGGTGCCGTTGCTGTAGCGTGGATCGATGGGCTGGCGGGCCAGGCGCAGTTGCTTATTGAGATTCTCGATGCGCGTCTCCTGTTCGCGCGTACGCTGCTCCAGCACCACGATTCGCTGGTACATGGTCTGGACGATCTGTTCGTCTACCCCATTGGCGTATTGGGGCGGCGGTGCCAGCTGGCCATGGCCATGGCCATTCTCCAGCGATCCACCGCTGGTGCTGGTACTGGCCTTCTGCGGCTGCCAGGTGGCGATGGCCGTCTGCTGGAAGGCCTGCAGCATCAGTTGCATGTGATGCGGCATATCCGACTTGAGGTGCTCCTCCAGCTGATTCGTCTCGGGCCGACCGACAAAATCGCACTTGATTTTGGCAAATGGGCACTTCTCTTCCAGCTGCTCGGGCTGCGGCTGACGTCGGTACGGACAGCTGGGCAGATGGCGATGCACTTCTATGGGGGAGGCGACCAGGGCACAGCCCAGCGGCGAGTTGGGACACTTGTGCTTCAGCTGCTCGATCTCGCGTCGCGTGTAATTATCCGGGAAGATGTCCTGCTCCGCAGAGAGTTGCTTATTGTCCAAAGGGCAGCACTGGTTGTGGTTCTGCAGCCAGTCGGTCAGGCAACGCTTGCAGAAGCGGTGGCCACACGAGGTGAGCACCGGCTCGTTCAGCCAATCGATACAGATGGCGCACTCGTAGCGCGAGTCCAGAAACTCCTCCTCGCCCGAGGTGTCCGAGGCCGCATAGTTGTTTTGGCTTAGGGACAGGCTCTTGGGTGGCTGAACTGGAGCAGAGCTTCCGCCGCCGCCCGAACGCTGTGTCAATATGGGCGTGGACGTGTCATGGTTATGGGTGCTGCTGCTTGCCGCTATGCGTGTGCCATTATTGCTATTGTGCTCGCTTTGCTCCGAGTGCTGGTTCTGTAACTTGAGTTGCTTATGGTCTGTCTGTGGTCGCTGCATGTTCGCCGCTAGCAGTCTCTCTCTCTCTCACATATGCATGGGCCACTGCACGGGAAGCACACTCAAAACGTTAATTGGTGATTATCCTAATTTTAACATGTATATACAAATATATTGCTTTTGCTTTCGAAATTGCTTCGATGACTCCTTCTCGAACAGCTGTAATCCAATTGGTCTGCTGCCCAGCACTGGCCGAAAAGCGCGGGGCTGCCCACTTTCGCAGCTGTACACTAGATACATTTCTAGCCAAAATCCATTAAACCCAGAACTGACGAGAAACAGCTTTTTTTTATAGAGATAATCTCAAAACACAGTTATTTTCCATGTCAAACGACATCATGGTCACACGCAAGGTAGTCACGCTCAAACCCGACGAAACTCGAGTCCAACTCCGACTTGAGCGTCTATTTTCCACTCAATGGATGTTAATGTTAATTAAGAATTTAACATGATTTCAACATGTTACCCTAATCTCACATTTATGAATCTATCTAAGAATTAAAAAAAAACTATTGTATTGCATCAAAGGGAGGATAAGATTTCGAAGTTGACGATGTTCTGAATTTTTCGGGTTTATTACTGGCGAGTATTTAATCTTAGCCAAATTTGTAGCTTATTTTTTTTAGTTTTACTTCTTTTTGGCATATTTCTTTTTGAATCTAGCTTGAATCTAGGAACTGCCCATCTGCTAAATTAAGTGCATACGCAAACCGCCAAACTGCCAGCACTGACAAGCAGCAGCCCCAACGGCCGGTCGCACCTGCAGTTCTCGCAGTCTCCAAGCTCCCACTTTTGCGGTGGGGTCCGAACGTATAAAAACGCCAGAGGCGCGCGGCGTGGACAGCAATTAGTTAAGAGCGCGCCGGACGCGAAACCATAGAAATATACCCACCGCGATACGCGAAGCTGAATGAAAACAGACAACATGGCATTGGTGATTAAGTGCAGGCACAGCCACAGTTACATCTATTTACTCTGCCCCATTCTGCTGATGTTCATGGCATGGCAGCTGGGCGCGGGGGAGGTTGGGGCAGAGGCCAAGCAGCTGCCACTGGCTGCTGATGCCGGAATTCGTCACGGATCGTACGACAATGGCAACGATGACGTTGCTGCACTGGTCCGAAAGCGCCGCCAGTTATCCGACTGGCTAATAGCCCCAAACACACGCTGGTGCGGACGTGGGAATTTAGCCAATGGCACCTACAACGACCTGGGCGGCGCATCGATGGCTGACAAATGCTGCCGGAAGCACGACCACTGCCAGCTGTGGATAGACGGCATGTCGACTCGCTACGATCTTTTCAACTACCGCCCCTACACGCTGTCCCACTGCAGCTGCGATCGCCGCTTTCGCACCTGCCTGAAGATGGCCGGCGATGAAGCGGCGAATGCCATTGGCAAGCTCTTCTTCAATGTGGTGCAGACGCAGTGCTTCAGCCTCAGGGTGGAGACGGTGTGTCTGGAGCGTGGTGCCGGCAGCTCGGGGCAGTGCCTGCGCGAAGACCTACGCCAAAAGGCCGTTCTGCGAAACAACAAACGGTTCTAGAAGGTTCTCTCACAGGTGGAACAGACCTGCACTGGACATACACTGGACAGGGACAACAAATGATAGCCAATAGGGCACTATCAGGTTTGGTCTGGCAGTGTCCCAAACGTGTCAGCAGCATAGCTATGAAAAAGGAGCGCAACCCGAACCACTCCACCAGTGCTACAGCTACAGTGCTGCAATTAAGTTTGCAACTTAATGGGAAAATCATTGCAAAATGTTTTTTTTTACTTGTAGTAAAAGGAGGAGAGAGAGAGAGATACGATACGATACCCATTTATGTATTAAGCTTATGTACGAGTATGTATATGATTATAAGTGCGTAGTAGTCGATACGGACATAGATGTAGCTGTAGCTGTAGCTGTAGCCATTCGTCTAGTTTAGGCCATCAAATCAAATCCAATATATAGGCTGCCAGAAAAACAAAGTTTTTCAAATAGTTTTGTAGACAAACAACACAAAAATATTGTCTAAGTATGCATGAACCCTTAATTAGTTTACTACGAGCTAGTCGTAATTCAAATAAAACCAATTTCCAAAGAAAGCCTCCACTCCAATCTATCCCTGAAATGGGAAACGTCTTTAATCCGGCGAACCGCATTGGAATTTCGTACTTTGCACTTGGGGGCCAGCCGGTATCAGCAGCATTCCCTCACATAGTATGTCTATACATACATATATACCATATATAAATACCTAAATATGTATGTATATAATCCCCATACGTATGGATCGGATCCGATCGGACGGAACGTAGTACATACGAGTGAGTATGTGTCTAGAGGCGGAGACTGTGATCATTGCCGCATTGACGTCGTTGTTGCCCGATGAAGATGATGACCAGTTGACCCGTAACCGTACACGTACCCGTACGCCGTACCCCGTACCCATCTACTCGACGCGAAAGCATTTTACCCCTGATTGCTTTTCCCTCTAAATCTGTTGTTGTTCAGGCTGTGCTGCCTGTTGTTTCTGGGCCACAGATGCGTCATAGTGAGTTGAGGGTCTAGGTCAGGATGAGGAACTTCTAAAAACTGCACACTGAGAGCATCAAAATAGATCAGCGTCATCCACAAAATTGCAAAAATAAATAAACAATTGTGCAATTTAGTTTTACATCAGGGGCTTGGCCTGTCCGTACTTCCTGCCCGTTTGGGTCAATGTCAGCAAAATGTAATCAACGTTTTCGCTTTCGCTCTAAATTGATAATCCCCCTCCCCCCACATTTCGTTGTAATCTGATAGATTGGTGACGCGACGCTTGGGGTGTTCGATTCCTGATTTTCGCCACGTGTATGCTCTGCCCAGGTGCAGTACATCTGTTCTTTGATGATGGTGGCAAGGCATAACAAAAGGCATGCTTTTTGTAATCGCATACACACGACATTGTCCGTTGGGCAAACTTTCAAATATCGATAGACAAAGCAAGCAAGCAGCAGAAATGAAGTTGGCAGCCCAGCCAAGGCGCTCGATGGGTGAACTTTCAAATTCTAATCGGCAACTACAAGCAAGCAAACAGCAGAAATTACGTTGGCAGCCTGCCAAGCCATGTAGGCGCTGAGTTCGCCGTTTGCTTTTTATATTTTAGTCTCCCTACAATAAATCTAGTCGCAGTACCAGTCACACTGGATTCATTTCAAATTCGACACCAAAATTGTTAAATCGAAACAATAAGTAGAAATTGTTTTTGTGGATTTGACCAAATTGCTAAAAAACCTAGCATGGAGTTGTTCGAAGATGATGTGCCCTCTTGCAGTCGCGTCAAGAGCTTGGAGGACCTGAAAACATCCCCAGATGCCTTAAATGTGGCATTGGGCTATGGGTAAGTTGCATATGCGTGAATACATAGTACATTTTCGAGTGCCTAAATCCATTAGGAACGGATTGCCAAAGTCTGAGAGCCCACGTCCGAAGAACATAAACGAGTTGCGGATGCTGGTCAACGACATACGCTTCATGTTACGCAGCCAATTGTTGGCATACGATGCCAAGCTGCTAATCTTTGCGGCAGCAGCAAGCACCGGGTGCCCCGAGGACACAATGGTGCCCGCACCGCCGGCGTTCAAAAACACTAGCACTGACGACGACCTGTATGACGCCACCGACGACGGCTGTGACATGGAACGCCTGCGCAAAGCCGTTCAAGATAACTGGCCCAGTTGCACTGTTATGATGGATAACCTGTGCGCGGTGGACACGCTGGACGAAATGTCTGATGACGACGTGGAGGCCGTCCATCTGCTCCACTGGGTGCTCGCTGATCCGTCCAGTCCCATGCTGCGGCGCACGTCCGGCGTCCATCTGCGCAGTCTCTGCAAGCATCTTGGCGTGGCCCGGCCCTCGCAAATGCCCGTCCAGCTGATGAGCATCTGCTATGAGGATGAGCATGTCACCCTCCCGGACCGCAAAGTCAGGCGCAGCCACGCTTACTTGGGCTTGAATTTCGGCAAGTTGTATCGCTTTCTTGCGACTGGACACTTGGATCATTCAGGACCGGAGGATTACACTCGTCTGTACGCCCAGCCAGAGTCTGCCCTGCTGCAGTGCCTCGAGCCCCAGCCAGAGCCCATGAAAACTTGCTGGCTTCAGTCCCGCTTCGGCGTAACACAGCGTGCGCTCGTCATTTGCGCCCTGCCGCCAGAACTGGAAAGACCGCTAAAGATGTCGGCCACAAACCAATTCCTTGAGTATATAGTCCATGATCCCAGTCGTCTCCGTCCTTGCCATCTGCTCTTCTACGACGAAGCTACAGCCAACAAAATGATGATGTCCTGGCCGGGTCACATAATCGAGATGACTCCCCAACAACAGCGCATGAATGCCGCTCGTAGGCCCATGCACAGGGCCACTACCGAAACCGGCCGCAAGATCAAGGCCTGGGCCCAGTCATTCTGGACTGGCTTGGTCGCTGTCAAGCGATATGTGTGGGCCTCCTGCTAGCCCCAACCCCAGTCCTGGCTGCGGCACAGCCAACAGTCGAGCGCAGCTTCTGGCGATACATACTCCTACTATTTGTTCAAATCTGAATCGAAATTAACGCTGTTCAAATCGTTTAGCCCGCAATTCATTATGTATCCTGTATTATCTATCATAAGTAAAAGTAAACGATGGAAACTGCACGTGAAAGGATGTTTCCTCATGCTGCATTGGATTTACTGCCACCAGTGCCGCCTGCCCTGTTCCACACATGGCAGTGGATCTCATCAGCCTACCTGGGTCGTGTGGTACTTACCCGCTGCTTCAATTCAAATTCCGTTCTCCGGTCCGTTCTCTTTTTGTCGGTGTTCCCATGGTTTTTTATACAAAATAAATTTTTTAGAACAAAAGTTGTTATTCAGAATACAGTAGAATCTTGTGCGTCCAAATTTTGTCTTTTCCGCTGCCAACCTTTAGAGAAATGCCACACTTCCAGCCCCACTTGTGTAGAGTATTGAGTGTCGATTGTGAGTGTGTTTTGAGCAGCAGCTAGGGGTAGGGGCTGGGGGTTTTGTTTTAACGAGTGTCGGGGATGTTGCGGCTGCCCGATCCGCGCAGCGAGATGTAGTTCTCCACATTCAACGGAGTGTAATCCAGAACGGAACGCCCTCTCTTACGCTGCATGGTAGAGTGGCGCAGATAGGCTCTGGACAGCCCCTTGATGCCCAAGAAGGTCACGCCGCCCATCACAATGGCCAGCAGCCTATTGCCCATCTTCGAGAACAGTGTGTGGCCCAGCAGGACGGCAAAACTGGGCAGACTGAGGGCCACGATGAAGCTGGCGGAAGTACTCCCGATCCCCTCGTCGCCAAAGATGGCTCCCTGATCCAGGAAGTTCATACCGAGTTGATCGGGGGGTCCACCATCGAAGTACTCTTCGTCGAGCGGAGCACCGGGCGGAATCTCGCCGTCCTCATCCAGATCCTCACGCGGTGCGACCGGGCGGGGGCCGCGTAGGCCACGCCACATTATCGTCAAATGGTCGTCCCATCGGAGATTGCGCAGCAGCAGAAGCACAGCTGGGATCGTCGGCAGGACGATCATCAGTACTGTGGGCTCGTCCCTCAATAGCGTCAGGCTCACGCGGTACCCAAAGACCTGGATCAGCGTCAGGGCACCAAAGGTCATCGCCGCGAAGTAGAGGCCGGCCGAGAGCGTGCCCATCATCACGCTGGGACACACCGTTTCGTACAGCTGGTCGATCTGGTCCAGGAACGCATCGAACGCATTGAGCGGCGGGGTCACAATAATGTACTTTGTGCGGCACTGGGTGCAGGCCATCGGCATCTCCGGATCGTGCAGCTGCTTCTCATCGATCCATCGATTTAGGCAGCCGCGATGCACCCATTTGTTGCTGCCGCGGCAGCGACACGGATGCAGCCAATCGATTCGAGCCGGCAGCTCTTCGTCGCCTCCGAGACAAATCCAGCACATTCGCTCCTCATCGGAGGGGCGAGGACTTTCAAAAGGGCGAGGACTCTGTGCGGGGTCCGGTGCCGGCACCGGCACTGGTCCCGTAACTCGAATCATTTTCAATGAACGCTTTGAATTTTGTTGGAGTAGCGCTATTGTAGAGCGCTAGTGCTGTATAACATCAGAGAACAGTCCAGCCTGCTGGGTTCCTATTTTAAGCCCAGTACTCGCAGAGTGCCAAGCATAAAACTGTGTCTATCTATTGATTACTTGTCAACTTACGGCCACATCTGTCACTTTGCAAGGTTATGTTTTCCCCCCGATTTATCAGCAGAGAATACATATGTACACACTGGCCAGTGGATATGCTCTGTGGTATGTTCCCCTTTCAAATATCTGTATTATCTGTATACATATGTATGTAGATGGTACGAAAAAAAGGATGTCATGGCAACGGTTCATCTGCCAGGGTATCTATCGGCAGAAGTCCCAGACCAACAGCCGAACAGCCAAACAGGTGGCCTTCATTGCGGGTTGTTATTTTTTTGTTTGGATTTTTTGCTTCGTTTGTGGTTTACTTTCAGCCACCGAATGTGGCACATGCCACAGAAGAAAACCTGTTGGCCGACTGGGTGAAAATAGGCGAAGGCCAAGTCCAAGAGCGGGCCAGAAACTGGATCTGCAGAGTGCGAATTTCGGGGAGCATCGCTGCTAGGTTGCCCGGGGCCGTCCTTCCCTACGGCCAGTAATTGGATAAATTTAATCATAGGTCACACTTACCCTTCTCTGGCAGATAGGCAGATGGGCCTCGGATGCCCCAAGTCTCAGTCCAAATAAAACAGCAACTTTTTGGAATATTGCAAGCACAGTCACGAGTCACACAGAAACAAACAAACAGAAAGGGGGCTCGGATCGACGGATCCAGCAGGCGCACGCGCACTGACTCCACAAAACAGAACTTGTCGGCTCGAGAGCAGAAGAACATTTGGCCGTGCCGGATCGGGGTCTGGGTCTGGGTCTGGATTGGACTGGACTGGACCGAGTCTGGCATCCGAAAGATGCCTGCCAGCAGAGGAATAGAAATTGCCACAGCCACATTCAGAGCCAGAGCCAGAGCAAGAGCAAGAGCGAGAGCGAGTACCGCCTTTCCACTCCACTTTTTTGCAGCAGGTTGCCGGCCAAGAGCCAACGGTACACAACAAAGTGTGGCACATCGAATTGGGGCCACTTGCCGCAGCCTTGTGTTTTGGATTCTGTTTTGCATTTGGTTAGGAACGGTGGGGTGATTGATGGGATGGGCTGTGTTCTGATATGGTTGGTTCTCAGCGCAGGACCATTAGCCAAATCGATTTCACTTGTAATTCAGAAACAGTGATCGGTGTGCGATAATTCGTTTCCAGCTTCACTCGCTCTCGCCCAGATTCATGCCCTTGATGAGGGCGTACAGCGAGAAGGAGAACTTGGCGATCTGCAGGTGAGAGAGAGATATGATAGCTTCGTGGGGCAGTGGGGCAGTAGGACAGCCAGATTGATGGGGAATATCTTCATGGCGGCAAGGGCGAGGGGCTGCTGGGCCTGGTGCAGATAGAAGAGCAGCAGCTTGCGGAAGCGGGTGCTCTGGCCGGGCCATTGGCAGTGGAAGAGCGCCAGGGACAGCTGCTCGTTGTCGAACATTAAGGATGTGGCCTGGTAGCAGCAGGGCGCCGTCTGAAGGGTGACGGCCAGCAGGAAAGCGGACACAAAGGTCGAGCAGGAGTAGATGGCGTACGAGATCTGGTAGAACCACACCAGCCGGTTGCAGAAACGCATCGCCTCCCCGATGCGACGGAATTCGCTCGTCTCTCCGCACCGACCATCCAGGGCCGTCGCAGCAACGGCAGACCCCAGACCAGAGCCAAGATCTTTTCGGGCAGGATAACCGCATCGATGGCCACCTGCAGCGAGGTCATCACCTGTTTGATCTCCATGCACCCCCATACACCGTTAGCTGCCACACGTACATGATCGCGGCAAGGCAGCGACAGATCCGTCGCCAGAGCGGGCTCCTGGCCGGTCGACTGTCCTCGGGGGCTTGCATGCCGAGCGCATAGGTTATCCAGTGCCCGGCGGGACTCCGTACACTCCAGGACGCTGTCCCGGCTTGGGGTACTGCTGTTGCGACCTTCCAGCGAGCGAGGGACTTTTGTGGGGCCTTCAGAAAGGAGCAGAGCCTTTAATGCTCCCGGCTGACCAAAGAAGAATGAAGGCCGAGGAACAGTTGGTTTTCTATAAAAAATAGTTTTTATTTTGTCACTTATTTTGGTCTCCGAATCGAATGGTTTAAATATTAAATGAGTTTGTTGTCCTTTTGTTAAGTTTTAAACGTTAATTGCTAATTTGTACATAACATAAGTCACAAGCAGCATTTATTATTGCATTCAAGTATTATTTTCGGGGCGCCGGGCACCGGGGAGCCGCTGCCGCTTGCTAATTCATTAATTCATGGCAATTAAACGGCACAAAAAAATACGGATACGGATACGGATATACTGGAAACGCGAGTCTGGTCTTCTTTCCGGACTGGGGCTGATTAATAAATAAATAATGGGGTACGGGGGTACGGGAAGGATTGCAATTAAACTAGAAGGTAAAATGTTGGCTATCGTTTGTATCTGATGGTTCTTTTCTGTCTCCTGTACTCGTCAATATATATAGCATATATATATGTATATAGTATGGTATGGTATAGTATAGTATAGTATGTCTGCGTATATATGTAGATATATTGCTTTGGTTCTCTATCAACTATCAGACACGTACATACATATATTCCTTTTTCCCCATTTCTTTTCTTGTTTGGTTAACGTTTGCGTTTCTCCTGTGAGCATAAACAACAATTTGTCTAAATTATAGTTATTAATTAGTTATAGATAATCATCATATTTGTATATATCTATATATATGTGTGTGTGTGTGTGTGTAGAGTGGATTTGTGACCGACCATTCCAATATATAACAAGGGAGGAAGGCTAGCTTCGGGAGCCCGAAGCATCTGATACCCTTGCAGATGGATTGTTCCTGATAGAACCGATACAAAAAGTTAAGAACAGACGGACAGGACATTACAATTCCTCTCTGCAAGGACAAAGTATAAGCTATACACCTCTAAGCAGAAGAACATGGGTATACGAGTATATGTATATTGTTTTTCTGGATATCATACATTCTTTTTGTTATTTGGAAAATAGCGCGCTTCGCTAGACTGCTGTTTTTTTGTATATAGGGCATGGGCTTACACATATAACGTATAGTATTTATCTTGAATGAGTACGAGTATACTATACCAATACACATCATAATATAGTATTCAATTCAGAGCTAGTGGTTGGGGAATTAACGCAGCTATATATATATATATATATCGGTCTCTAGTCTAGGTATATATGTATATAAGGTATAAGGTATGATTATATATAAACATTTTGTCAGACTTAAAAATGGAGCTTACGGCGGCTGGCTGGCGTGTCTGTGTCTTGATATTGGGATGTTGTGGATGTTCTTCACGGAATTACAAAGTATTATTTAACATTATTATTGTTGCTGTTGGTGTTGTTGTTTTGCGAGTTGGAAACCGTCTCGCTATCTACGCGCATAAAAGGCGACGAGTACAATTGTCTATAGAATTCTGTTTCCTTCGGATGTGATTGTAGGATGTAGGATGTGGGTTCGGGAACTAGTCTTCAACACTACTTTTAAGGCAAATCGCACAAGTCGGGGGCACATCGAAACATCGAAATACATAAGTACACGCATATGAAAAACCTCGATGACTATTTCAACTTTCACACATCAATAAATTGTCTCTCCTAAGGGGTTTGCTTCTGGAGTCTCATCACGGCAATGATCCGAAACTCCTTGAGGTATAAGCCGTACAATGGGCTATTGCCATCCCACTCGCTTTCGTGCCGCTGCTGTCCCTTTCCTGCTGGTGTCCCGCTCTCTCACAGCCGGTACTCGTAGTGGGCCGAGCGGGAGCGTCGAGCACCCGAGTACCAGCGATAGGGAACACGTTGCTGGTGCAGCGATAAGCCCATGCTGCCAGCCGCTGCCACACTGCTTACGCCTACGCTTACGCCTCCGCTTCCGATGTCCGCTCCCGGACTGCGCGCCAACTGCAGGGTCAGCGCCAGTCGCGCCTGCTAGGAGGATGTCGAGGGCGAGGGTGTGCTGGCACTGGAAGCCTGACGATGTCTCCGATGATGATGATGCTGCTGCTGCTGCTGTTGCTGTTGCTGGTGATGCGGCTGCTGCATGGCCGGGGCCGTCATCCGGCGAACCAGAGCATGGGGCGGCAATGGCAAGGAATTGGCATCCAGATACGCCTCCGGACTGAAGCGTACCCGACTGTGCTGCGATCCGATGGACCCCTCTTTGGCGCTCAGGTAGGAGCTATCGTCGCTGGTCAGCGAGTCCGGGGGCGTGGGATTCGTGGGCGTGCCCTGCTGCGACGATATGGAGCCGTTCAGAGGTGTGCCCGTGCCCTTGCTGCTACTTTTGTTGTACTTCTTCAGCGAGCTGCGGAGCTTGGCCTGGCTGCTGCTGACGGTGGCCGGTGGCACCACCATCGGCTGCTGGTAGGTGAGGGTGAGGGCGTGCTGCTCAAAGGGCAGGCTGGCGGGGCGCGCAACCGACGCATACTTGCTCTTTGTCATCGGCAAGGGGCTGTGAATGAGCCGATTGAGCAGCTTAGGCGAGCCGGCGTAAAGCTCCTGCTTCGTGGGTGGCGGCATCGGCGGCGCCTGCTCTCTATCCCTCTCGTAGTCGACATTCAGATTGAGATTGTTGTAGTCGTAGAGCAGCTCCTCGTGCTCCAGCAGTACATTTGAGTTGCTGGATACGGTCGAAGGGGTCCTCCGATGGCCACCGGCACTCACACCCATCTGGGGGACACGGGGCGGCGGCGTCCGGGTCTGGGCCTGCAGCGGCAAGGATGTGGGCGCTTGAACGGGCACTGCCACCGGCACGGGTACGGGCACGGGCACGGCAACAGGCACTGGGACCACTGGCGCCTCGTACTGATAGTCGTAGTAGTCGGGCAGCCGATGATTGTAGTCGTAGGAGTAGTCCGGATACGATTTGCAGTCACGCTCGTAGCTATAGTTCAGCTCTGGCCGATACGGAAAGTAGTTGGAACCTGGTTGGAGCAGATGTGAAAAATTAGCCTCCAAATCTTAAAATCCTGAATCTTCGACAGACAACAGAGGACAGACACTCACCAAAGTAACCATTGCGATAGTTGCCGGCACCATCGTTTGAGTAGCTCGGTCCGTTCCTCAGGTAGTCGGCCGGGGCGTAGAGCGGCGGTGGTCCGATGCCGCCGCCCACGCGAAATTCCTCGAAGGCACCGTCCGTGTTGCCAAAGCTGCTGTTGCTCAGCTTTCGCCGCGGCGATGGCGTCGGCGGCTGGGAGCCCGCATAGAGAGCGGTTATGGCAGCGGTTTGTACGGGTTGCGGCTGTAGGGGGGCGGCCGCAGGTGCGAGTGGTGCCGCCTGGTGCTGGTGCTGCTGGTGGTGCATCTGGTGCTGGGGCGTGCGCTGCACTGGAGTGTAATACGGCTGACTGCCACCGATGCGACGGGCCAGTGAGGTGGGCTGTGATGAGCTGACGCCCACCTCCAGACTGCCGTACCTGACCGGATATCAATTAAACGAATGGATCGTTAGTGTGCTTTCGATGAGGGTTATCCTAACCCGTACACTCACCTTGCGTGACCCACCAGCTTGCGGGGCGTCTCCTGCAACTCTTCCTCCTGCCTAAGCTGCAGCTGCAGCTGCTGTTGCTGATCCTCCTCCTGCTCCGTCAGGGAATTCTCCGCAGCCGAAAGCGCCAGAGCAGCGGCTGCCGCTGCTGCAGCTGCCTTGGGGGCCGCCTTCAGCGCCGGCAACTCGCTTAGCAGCGTGGGATGCACCGGCGACACATTGGACATGCGCACATCGTAGCCGGCCGCCACGCCGGCCAGTAGCGAGGCCATGTTGTACAGAAGCAGCTCGATCACCGAGAGCTTCGGCTTCCGGGCCGAATCGCCCGCGTACAGGGTGGGCAGTGGCACGTTGCTGGTGAAGCGGCTGAGGAGATATGGCGACGGCGACATGATGGGCATGTTCGTGGTGACTCCCGGGCGCCAGTTGTCCATTTTGTTGTTGCTTTGGTATCCTATGGCATCGTAGATCGCATTCCACACGAAGAGCGGCAGTTTACGAGACGGTGTTGAGTAGGATCGAATCGATAATTGGGTCAAGGAAATCTACAGTCAGTCTACAGTTGTTTGTTGTGGGGCAATGGGGAACAAGGAACAGGGGTTGACACCGCAGGCAATACCAATAGCAATAACCACCGCATACCAAGTACCATCCATGTACCTTTCGGAGTCCGTTCAAGTGTCTCCCTGTCCGTATTAGGTGGGGGCTACGGCTACGGCTACGACTAACGGGTAGTGTTACGGCTTATAGCAATCAAAACTTGTCTCCAGTTTCTATTTACTTCGTTTTATTACTGGATTTCCAATTCTATGATCTTTTTATGGGGGGTGTTTCTCTGGGTAGGCCCCTGCTGTCTGGGGCCCTGCCCAAATGGAAAATACATTCATATACAAAGTACATTGAAATCAAATCGAAATTTAAACGTAAAAAGAAGACAAAAAAATTGATAAATACAATCTAACAAAAAATGTCCATAAAAATAATACAAAAAAAGTTCATCATTTTTTCTTTCTTCATTTTTGATCACAGTTTTTTTTTTTAGTTTTTTGCTTTTTAGTTTGTTGTTTGAAAGAAACCATAAATAAATGAAGGACACGAACCGATGTAAAAATAAAACTGTGCTCAAAATACTAAATCGAATCAAATTGAAGTTGAAATTAAATTAAATTCGCTGTGTGCTCCACAAAACGTTTTAATCCTCGTTCGCTTCATTTCTTTGTAGCTGTGTATGCAGGGGTTTGTTTTTATATTTTTAATTTTTAATTATGGGAGTATCTTTTAAAATGTATGAGGTTTTCGTTTGTTTAAAAAACTCCATTATGATAGATTAATTAATTTTAGGGTCACACCAGTCGACACTACTTATTCCCGGTACTCATTTATGAATATTAATATTAAGAATCGAATATACCCTATACGCTTTGAGTACAGGGTATACAGACAGCGGAAAGAAAAAGATTCTACAAATTGTGGAGCACTGCGGAATGAAATCCCTTCCTTTGAATTTTGAAAATAACTCCCACAAAGATACAGTAAAAGCAAGATATGAAAAAAAAGAAAAAAGATTCACACGGATTCGTACGACTAAAACTTAGTTCAACTAAGATGTATGTAATGTAATGTATGGTAGGGATTTATACGCCTACATCGGAGTCGTGTAGGTAGGCATGTATGCATCGGTATAAATATAGTTGTATACATATATAGTATGTTGTTTCCTTAAGGTTAATCCAAGTCGTTAAACATCTATGAATATTGGTTTAGCTTGAAATATTTTGCCATCGTCCCATGCATCTTTATGGGATGTGTTAGTATCCCCTCCATCACGCCATTACGTTACTGATTCGTGGTTAAACAGTCCCCCAAGCAAATCATTCTCCCAACAGTCCCTCCTTGCCAGTTTTCGTCGTCTGTGCAATCGTCACTCCTTTACAGTTGTATCTTTCTTCTTCTCAATTGCCACTCGTTTGCAGTTGCTTCCTGCTCGTAATCCTTCGTTCCATAGTGCTACTCGTAAACACCCTTTAAAGGTGAATCCGTACCTTCCTAGTGGTCAATCCTTAATAGATTTAATCTTGTTCTTAATCAATCCTTAAACTTTTTCTCTAATACCTCACACAGATCACTGGACTAATTACGAATCGATTGGTCTTCATCTCTAATCTGGATGAATATTGCTTTGCTTTCGTTAGGAACCGTATCGAGGGCCTTCGGTTGTAAGTTGAATTATCGTATCATTGTCCGATTCCATTTGATATCATCACTCTATCGAGGAGGGATCCCCAAATCCCACCCCTTAACGGGATGTTCCTGCTACTCCTGTTTTAGAGTAGGTCTATCTATCTGTCGTCCGTCTTTCGGATCAATGCAATCGGATATGTAGTCGGGTTCTGGCTTATTCTAGGGTTTTAATATAAAACAATGAGCAATTTATGCGTTTGTGTGCGGATATGGGTAGTGTTTCGTGTATGGGTGTGGGTGTGGGTGTGGGTGTGCACCAGGCAGCGAGGTTAACCAGGATCCAGAAGTCCAACTTCAGCACCAACACCAACACATCTAGATCATATCATCTATCGTCTCTCGGGTTCAGCAGCGCTCTAACTGCTCACAGGACTGAGTCTGGGGCTTCTTGCTCTTGCGCTTGAGGTAGCGACTGGCACTGCCGCCCTGGGCCGCCTCCAGATCAGCCTCGTACGGATCGATGGCACTGAATTCAGTGCTACCCATGTGAACGCCCCCGCCCATGGCATGCTCCGACAGCTTGCTGTACTTCTTCTTCGAGCGCGAAAAGATGTTTATCAACGAGCGAATCTTGTTGGAGCCGGAGGAATGATGGTGATGGTGGTGCGGATGCTGGGGGCCAGATTTCTGTGGCTCGGCGGGCGCCTCGACGGACTTTGATTTGGTTATATGCTTGGGTCGCTGCTTCTTTTGGTTCTTGATGTGCAGGCGCTGCTCCTGCTCCAGCAGATTTTGCTTCATCTTGATCACATCCGGGTGGGGCTGGACGTCTTGCATGCGGCGTGTGGTGAGAATAGAGTTCTCTTGCATGTTATAGCCGTTCTGGCTGCCGGTTGCCATGGCCATGGCCTGCTCATGCCTGACATCGTTCGAATCTCCATTGCCGCCCGTAGATGAGGAGGAGGTGGAGAAGCTGATCGATGCACTGGACGCATAGGGATCGGCTTTGGCAGTGCCTGTGCTTGTGGATGTAGGTTCCTCGAAGCTGACGCTCTGAAAGGTCACCGAGCTCTTGCGCGAAGTGGTCGAGTTCTGGCGCACTTGGCTCGAGGCCGACGACGTATCCATCGACGTCTGCTCCAGTCCACGCTCATCGGTCTCGTTTTCGTTCTCGTCCTCTACCCCGTCCTCGTCGCTGGAGCTTTCCTGCGGCTGGCTGTTGTTTGGCTCCTTAAAGAAGCAATGACGCGGGAACTGCGAAACGGAGTGATTCCGCTGGAAGCGTCCGCCCCCGCCCTCGAAGGCCTCCTCTGCATCGTCGTAGTCCAGGCTCAGGGGATCCGCCATGGTAGTGGTCAGCGGTGTGCAGTTGTACATGGTCAGGTCTCCGCTCGACTTGGAGTTTACCCGCTCACTGCTGGCGTTGATTTTCTTGACCAATTGCCGGTAGAAGGCCCGATCGTAGGTATTATTCTCTCCCCTCGCCTCTAGCGGCAGGGCCAGACTGGTAGTGGCCGCCTGCGGGTGGCTGCTGTCCAGCGAATGCTTTTTCCGGCCCACCGCTGGACTGTTACCGAGGCTGCCACCGAAACGTATCAGACTCACGCCCGAGCCGATGCCTGCTGCCCCACTGCTGCTGGCGGCGACGGCCGTGGAGGTGCTGGACTTGAGGAAATGAAAACAGCCCGTGGTGGGTGTCACCGTGTCCGTCTCCGAGCTATCGTCCGATAGTAGAAAGAGCGGCGCGGTAGGGAGTTGGTAGGCCGTTGTGGCACTGTCCAGCCCGTACTCTTGGCTCCTGGCTCGATGGTAGAATTTGGCTGAAGATTTGCTTTGGCTGTGGCTGTGGCTGTGGCTACTGTGGTTGCTGTTGCTCTGGGTGCTGTTCTTGCGGATTGTCTGGATGTGGCTGTGACTGCAGTTGGAGTTGGAGTGGGGCAATGAGGCGTTCGAGTGGATGATGATGGATGATGATGCGGGTGAGAATGCGGTGGAGGATGTGGGCAGCATTATCGGATTAGTTTTGCTCTGGTTACTAATATTATTATTACTATTATTGTTGTTGTTGTTGTTGGCGGAGTTATAGCTGTTGTTGTTGTTGTTGTTGTTGGTGGTGAAGGTTGTGGTGGAGATGTTGTTGTTGTGGTTGGGGCGCGTTAGAAAATATGGCAATGGTATACCTGTGGCCCTGCCAGCCGCCTCGCCCCCGTAGAAGGACGACGTGGTCGCCACACCAGCACCAGCCACGGCCACGGTCATGCCCATTCCCCCGATCAGCTGCTGCTGTTGCTGGAGCGGCGGCGTCGACGATGCCGAGGCCGACGAAGGATGATGCATGGCCTGGCCCGGACCCTGCTGCTGCTGTTTGCTCTTGTCCAGATTGGGGGCACTCTTGCTGAACGACGAGTGGGTGGAGCTCTGTGCGGGCCACTCCGGCTGGCCGCCGCCCAGCTGCGAGGGCAGCAGCGAGCGCTCCCTCTGGTGCATCGTCGAGGGTCCCCACGTCTTGCCCTTGTGCCCATCGGTGACTGGCCCATTCGCCCACCAGAGATAACCAGAGGTAATTTGTGACCAAAAGAAACGTAAAAAACGTAAAATAAAGAAAGAAAAAAAGAAAGAAATTAAACAAAAAGCAAATCAATTCATCGGTATTTAACAAAAGATGCATGCAGAAGAATAAAATTCAAAATTAAGAATAAGAAATGATTACGGCCTACATTCCTGCGTCATAAGTGTTCGCCCTCGCGACTACGCATCTAATTCTAATCTAATCTCCAAGTGCAAAACCCAGTGTAGTGCGTTTCAGTACCTTAAGTACAGCACAAGACGAGACCGCCCTTCTTGGGCTTGTTCTTAGCGCTCTTTGGTCTGGGGCTCTCTCGTGCAGGCCCTTGCAATCAGTCTTTGACTAATATCGTCTTCAATCGATACAATTGTGGAACATGCTCTCGTTTTGAACAACTACAAACACAGATACATTTGATTGGGCTTATGGTAATGAAACGCACTTTAGACTGATTTAGAGTTGAGTCATCAGAAACAATGAACATGAGATCTTGAGATCCGCATCTAATCAGAATACAGACAGAACCCAATTAGAACGCTGATAGAGTGTTGGAGTACTCACGTGCAACGAGTCGTAGTCCGGAGAAGGATGGTGAGCCAGGCGGCTCTGCCTTGTCGCGCACCGCCGTGATGGTGTGCCGGAACTCCGTGGGCAATGATATCTGCAGGGGCTTGTGTTGCTATCAAGATCAAAATTCGTGGTATTAGCATTATCATTAGATCTCCAGTGGGTTATGTAAGGCTAGTGGCTTGTGGGCTGTGCTTTTGGGTTACCTTTTTGCCCTTTTTGGGCTTTCGTTTCGGTACTGGCTGCATCATGACCAATTCCCGTCCAATCAGCTCTATCTCACGCTCCCGTAGATTCTGTTCCCGTATCTTGAGGAGTGTCGCCTTCTCGCGCTGCTCGTTCTGGACCTGAAGCAGCTGCTCCTCCTTGTTGCGCAGTTCCTATACGGGGAGTTACACGGGGTATAATATTCAGTGCGGGGATGTCAAAGAAAATGCCAGAAACGAACAAAAACGAAAAAAAAAACACCACGAAATTAAAAACCATGCATAAGTTGGCTGGAGGTGCGGGTTGTGGGTGCGTTGATCAACCAATTGGAAGTTGGAAACGAATCGGAAACAGCCAAAAACAGAATAAGTAAAATAACTGTAACTGAAACTGAAAACTCAAGCAAGACAAGGGAAAGACTGACAAAGAGAGAGAGAGAGAGAGAGAGAGGGGGAGAAAGAGTGCAACCTCTTACCTCTTCGATGGTTTGGAAACGCTTTACATAGTTTTTGAGGGATAATTTCGTTTGGTTTATGTTTTTGTTTAGAAGAAAAAGTATAAACCAAATGATTAGAATGCCATCAGAGATAATAAAATGAGTATAAGAGGTAGGGCGGGAGGGTGATGAAGAGAACTCAAGAGAGAGAGAGAGAGATTGAGAGAGCACAGAAAAAGATCTGGAGGTGGAACGGGGTAGAGATGTTTCCAAAGGTTGCCTGGCTCGTTGGCAAATACCTTTTCTTTTTCGCGCAAATCGTGCAGGACCTCGGCTATCTCCTTCTTCCAGCACTCCTGCATGTAGTGAAAGGACTCCTGCGGCGTCAACGTGAACTTGGAGCGGGCAATGCTCTCCAGTTGCTTGAGTATTTCCTTGAATCCGGGTCGTTTGTGCGGATCCGTTTGCCAGCAGCCTGAAATACAGCATATATATATATATATATGAGGGGAATCAATCACAAACATGCATCTGTATGGGGGGATGGGGAAGACTTACTCTTCATGAGAGATCCCCAGGTTTCGGGACAGGTTTTTGGTATCGGCAATGTCAGGGTATTGACAGCCACGCCATACGCCACGGACAACGGATCGAACCCTTTGTACGGGGTCTCGCCAGTGATTAGCTCCCATAGCAGCACACCATAGCTCCAAACATCTGAGGATCTGCGGAGAGAGACAGTCAGACAGAGATAGAGCACAGTTTGGCTAGACTTTTCGTAGATGGACACTCACTTGGAGTACGTGCTGACACTGATCACCTCGGGCGGCATCCAGGCATAGGTGCCAGCAGCGCTCATCCTTTGCGTGTTGTACATTTCGCGGGCGAGTCCAAAGTCCGTGATCTTGAGCGTCTTCTGCTGCAGGTGGTTGTCCTCAATGGCCTCGTAGATGAGCACATTGGAGGACTTGAGGTCACGGTGTATAATAGACATGGGCGCCTCGTTGTGCAGATAGTTCATGCCACGGGCAATTTGTATGGCCCAGTTGACCAGAACGTCTGGCGGTATCTTGCCGGCCAGAATACGATTGAGGCTGCCTCCGCGGGCATACTCCATCACAAGGCAGAGCTTTGTCTTGAGGCAGACGCCGCGCAGGGCGGCGATATTCTCGTGCTTGAGGGCCCAAAAGAGTTTCGCTTCCTGAAGTACATTGTCGCGCATCCGTTGCATATCGTCGTCGCCTGTTTGGTGGGCGATCTTGATGGCCACCTCCTCGCCATCGTAGAAGCCGCGATGTACCTTGCAGAAGCCACCAGAGCCGATCACCTCCTTGATGTCCATCTCCTCGTACTCGATCTCGTGCGGTTGGATGTCGCCAATGGCCGATGGCACGTTCAGCTGCAGCGGATCTTCGTCCGTGACAAAATCACGGGGAAATACACCGACCTGTGGGTGGAGTAACAGCCAGTGAGTGGACTCTCGCAGTCTTGATTGTACCCTGCCGGTACCTCGGTGCCGCTACTCACCTTGTCACCAATCTTTCCCGTCCACCAGCCCACATCGCCGGAGACCTCGCTGTCCGTGGAGAGGACGACCACAATTTGGCCGCGGCGCAGCGTCAGCTCATCTTCGCCCTGGGCATCGTAGTCGTACAGGGCTGTCCAGAGGCTGCCGTCACCCACCTGAGCATCGGCATCGTCCACACCGTTGTCTGGACTCGGCTGGTGCTGGTGGTGCTGCTGCTTTTGGCTCTGCTCCTCGCTGATGGGGAGCATGTCTGCTCCTGCTACCGGTATTGCCGTTCCTTATCGACTGTGCTGTGGCCGCATCAAAGGCTCACGCTCGGCCACATAGGATCGCGATCGCGTCCGGCCCGCGCCCCGATATCCACGCTGCCGTCTCGAGCAGTCTTTGTGTCGAGCGTTGCGTTGCGTTATTCTGCGAATTCTGCGAGATAAACACAAATAGAAGAGAAGAGGCTTAACAATAGCATTAGCTGGAAGGAGGAGAGCAGTGTGGTGCGATGCAACATCCACCCACCACACCCACCACTGCACTGCCCTGCCGTCTTTGCGGGTTCGGGTGCAGCGCGCCTTTTTTCCACTCACCCAGATCTAGAAAGAGAGATTGCCTTGCACTCCTTTTTTAGGCGGCTGCTTTTGTGGTTGTAGTTGCTGCTGCAGTGGTGCCACCGCTACCGTCTCTGCACTGCTCCACTGTTCCTCGCCGTATCACCCTCTTCGTCTGACCGTCTGTCCAACCGTCTGACCAACCGACCGACCGACCGACTGCACGCAGGCAGAGGCACGCACGAAACAATCAGACAACACGATACAAAACACACACACACGCACGCACACAGCACACCATTGTCGAGATGTCGTTGTCCCGATGTCTTTTCGTTACGTTTGTTACGTCGTTGGGGTAATGCGGCTGCAACGGGCTGGATTTAATTATACTTGGGTTAATCAATTGCAATCGCTATGCATTAGCAATGTATTGATTTTTGTTTCCGCATATGTTTTTAAAACATAAAAAAAAACAGAGTTGTGCAGATGGGATGGGTATCGATGGCAATATCGATACAGTATCGATGTATTATTGCAGTTAGAACCGATATAATATGCGGCGCGATATTTGTCGAAATGGTCGATATTTTTAAAGATACTTTTTTGATATCAGTATCGATATATAAAACATATCGTCACTGTTCTGCGACGCAAATATGAGCAGCGCCAACCTATCGATTGGCCACCCACTCAACAGAAATTCAAATGCTTGGAAGCGCACGCGTTTTATACTCGTTTGGTTTTCGTTCTTTTAATATTATTCTTATAACTATTTTTATTTTTTCGAACGATCGCTTTCTTGGTTTTTGCTTAAATTGTTCTAAACTTTATTCAAAATTGTTTGGTTGATATGTGTTGTGGCTGTTGCATCCCTCTTTGATTCGTTATTTAATTAAAAAAAATCTCCTCGGACTCTGCGCATGTTTCGTGCAGGGGATGGGCCGGGGGAACACAGAATCTGCTGCGGCCTCTGATGTTACTTCGCCGCGTCCCGCTGTGTATCCTGGCAGCGCCGCACACTCTCTTGCTGCTGTTCGCTTGTACTCTCTCTGGGACATCCCTTCGGCCTGCACGTGCCCCTGTGTGGGCGGGAGGCTTTTTGGGCCATACCATGCCATGCCATGTGTTTTGCGAGGTAGCCAAACACTTAACCACTCAGGGTATACTCAGGTAAGGTAAGGCAATGCTAGTGTTCTCATTGTTCTCATTGTTAGTGCCATAATTGGCTTCAGCTGCAAGAGAGAACAGGAGAGCAGGAGCGGGAGAATAAGAGAATGGCTGGTAAACAACCCATGACCCCACCTTGCACACTTGTACCCTTGTTCCCACCCACCCATTGGAGCTGCGGCTCTGCTATAATCGGCTCCGCTCTGCCTCGGCCTGGTTCGGCCTGAGCCGAAACGGCTTTTGCTCTGCCGGGCTGGTCCAGCCGCGGCCTTGCACAGTAGCATCTGTTGCGATTTCTTTCGTCAAAAAATGTATTTAACCTAACACATTTTAATGGATTTTTTGGATCAATATTAATTTTTTTTAGCAAAATGTTTAGCATGAGTACAAATGTACATATATAATTATATATTACAAACAAAATTAATTCCCTAGTTAGTTATGTCCACCAACTGATAAAAAAATGTATATTATTTGCTGAAATCATTACCATAACATTTTAGAATGTTTATGAAAACCATTTTCGTGGAAAATGGTAGTTTTTACTTGATTTTACCATTCAAACCATACGAAAAATAAACTATTTTATATATTTTAAATATTGTTATGTACATAAAAAGATGATTTGAACCGTTTGATTTGTGAATGAGCCTCTGGGACTTACATAAAATGTCACCACAATTGCCCGTTCACACCCACTGTACATCAGCATTAGCATCATCGTACGCGCCGCTGCCATCGCTGTCGGCTGCTGCGACATCGGCATCGTCATCGGCATCGCAGCCAGATTTCCTGAACCCAGAGCCGGAGCCAGCGCCAGCGCCAGAGTCATAGCCATAGCCGGACGCGGACCTAGAGCCCGACACAGAGCCCAGTGGCACTGCACGGGGCTACGGCAACGGCTGCTGTTCGCATGAATCCGCCAAAGAGGCAAAGTCCGACCCGACCCGACCCGACACGACCGGATCCGACCCCGAACGAGCGCAGCATCTCCGGAAAAAGTGGAATAGAAATGAATAGGAAAACGGCTCGGTTCAGTTACGCGCAAGATTTCAACACAAATCGTAGCCCATTTCACGGCGGCAGACGCGGCGTGCGCAGCGCACGGGCAGATTGCACGTAAGGAATCCAGAACGGACCCAACAATATCGAGATTCGGCACAGGGAAAAGCCAGAAAATTGAAGTCAAAAACTGCTTTTCGATGCCCCGGGTCCATGACCGGAATAGTTTAAAATGTTTTTTTAAATAAATATGGATACAAATTTCGGATCTGATGGTAGTTTACAGATTTCACTAGGTTTGCCGGAGCCGTCGCCGTTGCCGTTGCCGTTGCCGTCGCTGTCGCCGTCGCCGTGGCCCTAGTAGAGTCGGTCGTTGCCAAAATTTCTCAACATTTTTTTTCCGTGCTGCTCGCCGCGTGCGCGTTTCACTGTGTGTGTGCGTGTGTGTGTTCGTTTGTGTGCGTATGCTTATGTGTGTTGGAGTGTGCGTCTCCGTGCGTGTCTGTGCGAGTGTGTTGGCCCTTTTTTCACATATTTCCTTCAATTTTTTTTGTATTTTTTTTTTTTCAAAAAGCCAAAGCAGAAAAATGTAAAAACACAGCCCCGCCTTCAAGACGGTCTCAGAAGCGCAGAAAAAAAAACCCAATGAAATAAATAATAAATTTTAGCTTAAGCTTTCGCCCTTAAAACGAAACGAAACGCACAAAAAACAAGCCAAATCATATCGAAATAAGTAATTGTTTAAGTAATCACAAGGAATTGGAGAGAACAACGTAAGGAAAATCCATGTCCATACGATATTTAATCATTCCTATTCATTCATTATAAATACTACATACTACATTCAGATGTCGGATTAATTCATAGATACTCGGCGTAAATTCATTTAGTATGTGTTAGAATACCATGAAAATTGGTTATTTTTCGTGCTGAATTCCATCATAAATAGTTCTCGCCACCATCCACAATCCATTCGTTTGCTGTGCGAGAATTTGCAGGGTTTTCTATTGAAGGTGGTCCCATTTTGGGCTCTGTTTTGAAGTTGGCTGAAGTCATATTTTGTAAAGTTATTTTGGGATTTTATTGATTTGGTTTTTGAAGTTTATACAAATTGTTGTAGATTGTTGCTTGGGGTATCCTTGGGGTTCTATTGATTTTGCTTGAAGTTTAGCTCGAAATGGCTTAAAGGTTTATTGGGTTTCCATTGATACGTTTTGATGTTTCAATTCAGTTTTGAAAGCTATAATCTTTTATTTAATCTATTTCACTGTCTCTCAATAGTTTCCTTGACACTATTTCCCCCCTTTTGTAGTTGCTGCTGCCACAAATAAAAAAAAAAAAACAAAAAACAACCAAAATAAATGAAGGCAAACCAATACACATACACACACGCACACACATATGTACATATATGTATATATGTATAGACATAAATCCATGTAAAGCTGTTGCCTGGCCTCTAAAATGGCTGCCGTTGCCTCTCTGCCGGTCCTGCTGCTGTTTCGGCTGCTTCTGCTGCTGGTAGCAGCTCTGCTAGCGCCGGCGCTAGCGTTGGCAGCGTGGTAAGCAGCGCGCAAGAAGTTGAGGTTATGTCTGCGCCGCAAAGTGTGCTCCAAGGGGCCTGAGATGGGGGATGCTGATGCCGCTGGTGCTGGTGCTGCTGCTGCTGCTGCCCTTGGCACTGCTCTGCTTCTGCTTCTGCTCTGCTTTGTTGTCGCCCACTTTCTATGGGCGTGCCGACTGCAGCATCCCTTTCGCAGCTCCGTCCCCTGCTTCCGTTTTCTGGGACGGTGTTGTTGGGGAGGTGCTGCTGCTGTAGATGACCTAGCCCTATTTTTGGACACTGCAGAGTCTCCTATGCTGCCGCGGGTATGATGTGGCTGCGCAGCTGGAAGCACATTTTGCTGTTACCACTTTCTCTGCCGCTTTTGCTGCCTCAGACTCAGCTGTTCAGCTGCGGTTTAAGCTCAGCTTCAATTTCAAAGAAGAGAACACTGGACATAAAGCAGAGCCGGGAAAAATAACTAGAAGAAGAGCTACCGCAGAAGAGCAGAAAAAGAAACCGAAAGAAAAAACAAAGAATAAGTTGACAGACAAAGAGAAAAAAAGTGAATGGCAAGGAAAAAGAAGAAACAGAATGCGAATGGCAATAAAAAGAGAAGCACACAACGAATGGCAGCGAAGACAGCTCGAATAACAACGAGGGGGAACGTTGTGAGTTGCTGCGTATACCGCAACTCTACAGTTATACCCGATACTAAGTCAGTATGGCTCTCCTCCGGCAGACGGCGCTAATATTAAGCGACACGACAAAGAGTGCGTGCGAGAGAGACAGGAAATCAGTCTGAGCGTGACGTCGGGCGCTGCGTAGCCACTGAAAATTGATTTGTTCCTTTTGGCTATAAAAATTATCTGATCTGATCCAGATTCAGCAACCGGATAGATATGGTCATTCTCTATGATTCTGCGTTTTCTCGAATCTGCAATATTGTGGATGCAACAGATTTTCCATTTTTTGTGTGGGCGGAAGGGGGTGGGGCGAAATTCTGAGATATACGTTTTATAGTGAGATCTAACAGAAGTGCGGATACTAAATTTGGTTACTCTAGCCTTAATAGCCTTTGAGATTTGTGGATGCCCCAGATTTTCGTCCTTTGCGGGGGCTGAAGGGGGTGTGGCGAAATTTGGACACGAAACGGTCAAGGTCCGATATCACAGGAGTGTGGATACCAAATTTGGTTGCTCTGGCTCTTATAGGTTCTGAGATCCTTGAAATCATATTTTCCAATTGGCAAAACCGACCATGAAACCTGTGTGTTAGAGAGAGACAGAGCGAGAAATAATGAAATTGTTTTCTTGATTCTGGCTATAATAATTATACGATTTGGTTGAGATCTTACATTTTAGAACATATAGTCATCCTCTACGATTCTGCGTTTTTGGTTTTATCGTATCTTTAAAAATGTGGATGCCACAGATTTTCGTTCTTTGTGGGGGCGGAAGTGGGCGGGGCGAAGTTTTGAAATATTTTTGTAGCAGTGACATATCACAGAAGTCTGGCTCCAAAACATCGTTGCTCTAGCTCTTATAGTCTTTGAGCACTAGGCGCTGAAGGGGACGGACAGACGGACAGACAGACAGGGCTCAATCGACTCGGCTATTGATGCTGATCAAGAATATATATACTTTATGGGGTCGGAAACGATTCCTTCTGGACGTTACACACATCCACTTTCACCACAAATCTAATATACCCCAATACTCATTTTGAGTATCGGGTATAAAAAGGACGAAGCAAAAGAAGCATCAGATGAGAAAGAGCGAGCGGGAACGCTGTGAGCCGCAGCAAGGGCCGCTGCTCTACATTTAGACCCGACACTTGGTCAGTATGTTTCTATCTCGCTCCCCTCCGCCGGAGGGCGCACACTGCACGAGGAGAGTGTGTGAGCGAGAAAGAGAATGCACGCGGTAGGGGGTTCTAGGGGTTCTGGCTATAATAATGATCTTATCTAAGCCAGATTTGTAATTTTCTATGATTCTCGCATTTCCCGGTTTTCTTGTATCTTCACAATTGTGGATGCCACTGCCTTTCATTCGTTGTGCGACCGGAAAGGTGCTGGGCGAAACTTTAAGTACACTTGTAACAGTGTGATATCAAAGGAGTCTGGACTCAAAATTTGGTTGCTCTAACTCTTATAGGCTCTGAGATCTAGGCTCTCATTGGGACGGACCAACGACTATTGATGGTGATCAACAAAATATATACTTTATAAGGTCGGAGATTGTTCTTTCTGGGTGTTACACACATATTCACTTTCACCAAGTAAAGCCTCTATACCTTTTCGACCAACTTACCGATTTTTATATCCTCAAAACCCACTTTTTCTATAATTTCCCTTAGCTAAATTATAGTTCTTGGCCTCCGTTATTTTATTTTGGCAGTCAGGGGCCTAGACATTCTCTAGCGGATTGAGGTTGGGGCTGTTTTCTGATATATTGGTCTATCGTTAAAAAATAGTCGAAACTATGCATTCATTTTTACAATAGCAAAACGCCAGAGAATTCCTTACAGGGCACGCTGGATGAGTCGTCCTGAAAGAGGGACTGATTCAGTAACTGATTTCAGTAACTGATACTTTTCATATTTTTTGTTGCATTCGAGATACCCTTCATCGTTCATACCTTTCAACACATATGTATCACTCATTTACCTTCATCAACTATGCAACTTTGCTTCTTAGAAGGGCTTCTAGTTCTAAAGAATTGTTGTAGTTGTAGATTGCACTTATGTCGACTCATACATCTGCTCAATCAATTTGTGTCCATATTAATTTTCCCAACCCTTTGTACTTTTCAGAACAGCAAAAGCCAACGCACAAGGAAAAATATTACTGTAAGGAAATCCATAATTATTCCAAGGAGATACAGGTTCAGATATAATACTGTATACACGCGGAGGTTCCCATACGGTGATAGCACATATTGTGTGAGGGAAAAATGCTCTCCAGTGGGTCTACTCCATCAACATCAACTCCTGCATACCGGAGAAAGCAACAGCAACAGCAGCAGCAGCAGCAGTGTCCGAGTGACCATTGATGCCAAGAGCCTGAGTCGGGGAACAAGTGGAAGCAAGTCGTTAGCCCCCGGCTGTGGGAAGGGAGTTCCTGAGCAGCGAGGAAGCGAAATCCGTTGCCTTGGCGCCTCCGCGCTGCGCGATGCAAGGGAACAGCAGCCGATCCACGTTAAGCGCACAATCCTCGGGCACACCGTCGGCCTCCACGATATCCTCGTCGCAGGGAAAGGTGAGTGTGTAAAGTTGATACTGGGATAGGGCCAAGACTCAACCCATCAAGACAATCTTCAACTAGGGTTGCGTCTGCGAGGACTGGGAGGGTTCAACTATGGTCCCCTTTATCCCGGTCTGGCGTCCCATCATTAGCGAGAGTCTCCAGTTACGATACCCCTTGGGCCACTCTTTCCTTTTCGTTTCTGTCTCTGACACTGGCTCTGGTTGCAGTCTGCGGAAAAGGAAACCAATAAAAGCAGCAATAAATTCAATCAAATTAACATGACAACTAGTATATACACTATTCAAGACGCTGAAAATGATTCTTCTACCAAATCAAATTTTTCTACTTCCACACTTCAGCAGGAACCAATAGGAGTACTCTTTTGAGTCGCTGTTTTCTGTATGCGTACTCGTATTCCCATCAGACAATATTGATATTCGAATCAGCATGAAAGAAATTGGCCCCAAGTGATTCATTCGTCCACAAAATTGTAAAATGCACTGCAAATTCCCTTTACGATGTCTCTGATTATCTACCAATTAGTTAGTGAAAGCGGTAGAGCAGTCCCCTCTCTTTTTATTACAAGCGCAGCCAGCATCGTGTTTAATATCAATGAAACACTTACATTCATAAATACATATCTGAAATATATACAAATCTCGTGGAACGACTGGACCGATTTCGATGAACTTTTTGTCTATACTATTCTTCGTATTTCTGTGTGAAAAATACCCAAAAATCCCATTCGAAATGTAAGCTTGTAAGCCTTGATCTAGAACCAAATATTGAATATTTCGCTTATCCGAAAGTGCTGATTGGGGCTGTGCGCTCAAATTCGAACATGAGACAAATGCTCAAATGATTCAAAGAGCAACTATCCAAAATTGGGACACCACCAGAAGCATTGAACCATTTAAACCTGTTTCATTCGCTTATTCAATGCATACAATCATACAATACTGCGGCAAATGGTTTGCCGGGTCAACTAGTACATACATACATATATGAATATGGATATGTATAAAGCATATATTTGCCTCTCCCAGCCTTTTCTTCATTTCGCTTTGTTTTTCTTTGTCTCTCAAAAAGATCTCAATTTGATCTGTGCAAAAGATTCCAGTGCATCGGAGTCCCATTGGGGGAAATCGCTTTCAATCCGAGTGAAATTTTATTTGACAGCTTCCCTCCGCCTCCGCCTCCTCCTCCTGCTGCTGGATGCCTGCCAGTGTGGCAGCTGAGAGTAGTACCAGACCAGTACCCATGGGGGGGCTGCTGCAGCACATTTCCGCTTTCAATTTGCTTGGGTGTGTGCGTATGCGGATGCGAATGATGGAGGGGGCGGACAGGACAAGACAGGAAGATGGGCAGACGGGAAGCGAAGGCGAGGGGAGGAGAAGATGGAAAGGAACATAAATGTAAGTGAGGAACTGCATCCGCTGCTTGTCAATCGTGGGAGTGCGAGTGGGGGAATGGGGAGTGGGAGACCGCCTCGGCTGGATGAATGCAGCGCAGCCTTGTCACTGATGAGACAACACCGACAACCCAACCCCCCCCTCCAACAACACACACTCCCATATATGTATGTAGCTCTCATCACCCCCTCTGCATCCTTTTGGCCCCGAACTCTCCCTCTGTCCTTACTCCTGTCTCCGTCGCTTTCTTTTACATATTTGTATTGCCCATTCGCCGCCGTTGTGTCTTTTATCGTTTTTAATTAAACATTGCCGTTTTGGGCTATTACACACACACAAACACAAAACACACATACATATGTATGTTGCTCCTATACTTCGTCCTTTTTGGATCTGATGGGAGTTTTTTTTTCTACTGTTGTTTGCTTTGCTTTACTTGCGATACCCTGTGGAATCACACCCGTCTTTCAATCAAACTTCAATCAAGCAATCAAATATATGGGAGTGGGTGAATTATTGCCTTAAATCCCATTGAAGACCTTATGGACCAAGGTCAGGGCGGTGCACTTTCGTAATGAAAACAAAAATGATTAAAAACCAGAACATGTAACACATGTACAAAAGCTTTAATTTAAATTATGTTGTTTATTTTCGAACTACTATTTCCAGGAACAGCAGAATTCATGGGTTTTTCTTTTGGGGTAAATGAAACAAGGAGGAGTGAGAGATAACGGAAATTTCTCAGTTTAAAAGACTGGAAATGTTTTAAAAAAGATTTTAAAATCAATTAAAGGGTATCCTCGTTTCGTTTCGTTTCGTTTGGCTGACTGTTGCCTGCAATGGAAATTGCCCTGACACATTTTGAAGTTGTTACTTTTCTCTTGAATGGAGGAGGTTCCTTTCATACTTGCACCATATGTGTGTGTGAGTGTGTTTGTATAAGAAAGAAAAATGAACAGGATGGGTGTTCGTGTGTGTGTGTGTGAGGCAGTCGTAAAAAATGATGGGTAAAAATCTACGTTTGTCATAATTGTCATCGTCCATCAAACAAACATATTCGCTGAACCCAGACACGCACGCACACACACAAACACACACACACACACACACAGTACCGCCCCTTACATGCCCCTGTACTCTCTTTCGACCCCATCCCCGCGTCGTCCGCCACCCTCCATTTTCATGTAAAGTTGCAATTTCTGTTGTGCCCCAAAAACTAGGCAACGCTTTTTCTGCGTTCGACTTTTATCAGCTTCTTGCAGTTTTTTTTTTGTGGAGAACAGCAGGAGGAGTGGGAATGTGGGATGGAAAAGTCCAGAGATGGTGGACGGATGCTCAGTGGTGGCTGGTGAATGGTGAATGGTGCGTTTGTGAAGCATTATTCATGAAATGAGCTGTATAACAGTGGATTGTTTTCACTGGCTTCTTCTGCCGCTGACCCTCTGGAAAAGTTTCTGCTACAGAATGTTCCCCACTTAGTTTTTCTTTTGCCCACATCTCCTGTGCGTTCCCTCTCTCCCATTTCCTCTGCCCCTCTGCTGTTTCTGGTGCTCCTGGTGCCGCTCCCCCATAAATGTTTAGTGCACTTCGATGAATTTTCCTTCAACATATGTTTCATTTTCCAGAAGTTTTCTGTCGATTTTTCAAAGTCTGTGGCGTTGTTCTTTTGCTCTCCTCTCTGTGAATGTTTTCCCTTTTACTTAAATAGATATTTTTTCATCTTTAAAGTTTACCTATTGTTGGATTATTATTTTCTTCTAGTTCGACATCCTCTTATGTCATAGTTTCCCTCTCCTGCTCGGGCCATGAAAAGGTGCTTGATGTTGAACAACAGCAGGGAGCATGTTCGGTGCCATGGAAATTCCATTAAATATAAAGACAAAATGCTGGTTCTACGGGGAATCTGCGAATACCGAAGAGTATACACGTGGTGTATCGAAATAATGCGAGATTAGTGCAGCGAACGAATGTCATTCGCATCATTCGACGAATGTACTATCAGTAGAACGAAGGAGAAAGTTTCACATTTACGGATACGGGCATGGGAAATTGTTTTCCATCTTCAGCTAATGTTTTATCATTTTATGGATGAACTCTTAACAATATCTCCTATCCTATCCTATAATGTTGATATATATTTTACATCTTTTACTTTATTTTTATTATTATTTGTTTCGTTCCTTTTTTTTTTTTCTTTTGTCAATTTTTTTTAAAGTTTTTTCCATTAGGTTGAGGCTTGCTCTTCCTTCGTTGCTCATTTTCTTCTGAACTTTCTTTCTTCATCTATTTCTTATTTTGTAGTTTGAAAATAATTGCACAATTCCAGAAAATTTCTTTGGCCTTGGAGAAAATTGATATGTGAAAGTATAAATAATGTTCTGCATTACGCATACGCCGCATGTGCCGCCCGCCAATTGTCTCCTCCCGTGCCCCCTTTTTCTCTGGATGTGTGGGTGTCTGGGATGTACGTCTCATTTTGCCCCGCTACCATTCTACAATCTCCTGCCTCCTGCCATCATTGACTTTCCATCATCTGACTCGAAGAGCGGGAGGCGGTGTCTGTCAAAGAAAGTTGTTTTTTGTTATATGTATGTCCATGAACTACCATGCAATGTTCCTATAACTTTTTTATGATACTATGGTCATGTTCAATGTGAATGCGTTCTATGTGTACTGTTGGTGAAGATGTCGTAGATGATGGTGTATTAGTTTTTGCCTTTATTGGTGTTTTTAATGTTGTAGTTACTTCTGTGGTATCTGCAGGTGTTGCTGGTGTTGTTATTGGTGCAGCAATAGCCGTTGTAGAGTTTTTTTGGTACTCTTATGGGCATATCTGTAGTTGTGACTGTGTTTATTGTTGCAGTTACTGTTGGTATAGCTGTAGTTGTTGATGTGTTTACTGTTGCAGTTATTGGTATAGCTGTAGTTGTTATAATGTTTGTTGGTGTAGCTATTGCTGTTGTTGGTGTAGTGTTTGTTGATATAGTTAGTAGTATAGCTGTTGTTGTTGTAGAGTTTGTTGTTGTACCGAGTGGTGTTTGTTAGCTGACGATTTGGTTAGTGTTGATTTGTGTTTGTTGTTGCAGTTATTGTTGGTGTAGCTGTAGTTGTTATAATGTTTGTTGGTGTAGCTATTGCTGTTGTTGGTGTAGTGTTTGTTGATATAGTTAGTAGTATAGCTGTTGTTGTTGTAGAGTTTGTTGTTGTACCGAGTGGTGTTTGTTAGCTGACGATTTGGTTAGTGTTGATTTGTGTTTGTTGTTGCAGTTATTGTTGGTGTAGCTGTAGTTGTTATAATGTTTGTTGGTGTAGCTATTGCTGTTGTTGGTGTAGTGTTTGTTGATATGGTTAGTAGTATAGCTGTAGTTGTTGCAGTGTTTGTTAGCTGACGATTTGGTTAGTGTTGAATTACGGGGTGAATAAAAAGAATGAAAATTTGTCTGCAGATCTGTAGATTCCTTGCATTCCCATGGAACAATATATCCAATATTAATGCATTGTGACATTTGAACCCTTTCTCAATGGAATTCGATAATAATTCCGATGTAAATATTAAAATGTGATTAAAAAAATGGGCCTGAGATGGCACTCAGACAGACA